GATGTAAATTATCTGGGCTAGCTAAAACAACCAATAAGCAATATTCTCAAACTTAAAATGTTTTAGTGGTGTATACAATTTATAAATGAGAATAATAAGTGTAAAAATTTTGAAAAAAATAAAGTATTATAAAAAAAATATTTTTCTTGCTAAATGATAGGATTAGTGGGAACTTAATTTGAAAAAACTTATACCAAGTTAATAATATTTTATTGATATTACTTGGAAAATTTTTAAAACTGTTAGTTTTACAATTTTACCAAGTAATATCAATAAAAGCATAGTAAAGTTTTACCATCTGGTTTATAGTTTGTTACAATCGTTGTTATTTTTATATTTTAGAGTTATAAAAAAATAAAGAAAACAAACTAATTTTTTTTAATCTTTATTTTTAAGAAAATAAATATACTATATTGTACAAAAATGGATAAAAAAATCTTTTTTTTTTGTCATTATTATTTGGCAATTACTCTATTTCACGTTTATTATTCAATACGTTTTTTGACATTTGTTTTGATTTAAACTTAGGCGCAAAAGCCTCTCTTTCAAAATTGGCGAATCAGATTGCGCATATCTCTGCCTATTCTGAGCCTGTATAGGGTTTCAAAATATGCTACCGGTTTACCTATAAACCAAATTGAAATGCATTATTTTATTACTGATAATTATGCTTGTCACTACCGGTAAAATCTGTAAAATTATTATAAAAAACCTGCAAGAAATGTTCAAAAACAGTTCAAATTTCTGAAGGCAGTACAAATGGTTCAAACATAACACAAAATTAACCTTTTCAAGAACAATAAAGCAGAGGAACCAAAAAAATCTTCTTGACTCTACTCATAGAATTTTGCTTATGCCTCCTTGATAATGGCTATGCAACTCTTCCTTATATCTCCTTATGAGGGTACAGCTCTAAAACTCAGTTTAATGGTTCTGAGGCCAGCTGGTCGTAAGGTTTACCGAACTCTGTAGTAGCTCTCAGAGAGGCTGATTCCATCAACAGCTGCAAAATATCAGAGAATTAACATTGCCATGTTGCGCATGGGTGGTGTCCCTGTTAATGCTTTTGATGTGCATTGTCAAGGCCACATAAGGAGCCCTATGTCACGGCTTAGGGTTAATTAACAGGACTGAGACAACTGCATAGCTCATTGATTAGGAGGCTGTGCTCTATCTATGAATGAGTCAAGTTCTCATTAAACCCAAATCATGACCAAAGTAACCAAAAGTTTTAAACCTAAAAAACCATCCCCACCACCTAAATGTTTTAATATATCTTTTACAAATATTCGCGGTCTGTGAAGCAACTTTCCCTCAGTTGAGTCTTACCTCCTGCAAAATTCACCAGACTTGCTTGCACTCAGTAAAACAAATTTAAATTCTGCAATTCCTTTTTTAGATGTCAGTGTTGATGGGTACTATCCTTTGATTCTTAAAGACTCCAATAGTCACATGCTAGGTTTAGGGGTATACATACGCATTAATTCCCCTATTTGTCATAAAATCAGGTTCGAATCCTTTGACCATTCTTTTATGTGCTTTTGCCTAGCACCTCTTCACTCTATCACCTTTCTCTTAGTTCTTTATCGTTCTCCTTCTTCCCATGATTGCACTCTTTTAGATGTTATCTCTGATCAAATTGACCATACCCTCTCTCTTTATCCCTCTGCCAATATTGTTGTTGTTGGTGATTTTAATGCCCATCACACTGAATGGCTTGGCTCTAACACCATTGATCCTGCTGGCACTAAAGCCTTTAACTTCTGCGTTTCTCAATCTCTTACTCAGATAGTTACTTTGTGACTCATTTTCCTGACAACCCTAATCATTTACCTTCACTCCTTGACTTATGTCTTGTCTCTGACCCTAGCTTATGTTCAGTTTCTCCCTTTTCTCCCTTAGGTGGTTCTGAACATGCAATGATCTCTATAAATCTTTGTTCTTGTACTTCTTTTTTGGGCTCACCTTATCATCGCACCACCTACTACTACCCTAAAGCTGACTGGGATTCTTTTCGTGATTTTCTTTGTGATGGTCCTTGGGCTGATGTTTTTTCTCTCTCAGCTGACAAATGCGCCTCCTGCGTAACCTTCTGGATTCAGGCTGGAATGGAAGCTTTTATTCCTTCTCGTCGGTTTCAAGTCAAGCCTCATTCTACTCCATGGTTTTCTCCTTCTTGTGCTATATCCAATCGTAATCATTTTTTTCATCTTTTTCAAAAGAACAACTCTCTTGAGAACAAACGGCTATTTATTATTGCAAGAAATCAATGTAAAAATGTGCTTCCTAATGCTAAACTCCATTATTCTCAGTTCACTAAATCTCGCATCTTATCACAGAAGTTAGGCTCTAAAGACTTTTGGAAAATCTTCAACAGCATTATTAACAAGGGTAGATCTAACATTCCCTCTCTCATTCATGGGACTGATCTTATTACCTCTCCCAAGGATAAGGCAGAACTATTTGCAAAGAAATTTTCTTCTAATTCCACTTTTGAATCTTATAGACATTTTCTTCCTTCGATTCCAGTCAAACAGGTTGACCCATTGTTAGACATTCAAATCACTACGGCTTCTGTTGCTAAAGTCATATCTCAATTAAACTCGTCTACAGCTTGTGGTCCAGACAACATTCCTGTCACAGTATTGCAGAATTGTTCTCCAGAACTTTCTTCAATTCTCTCTAAACTATTTAACAAGTGTTTGACTGAGTCTTGTTTTCCTGCTTTTTGGAAAATGGCATCTGTGTTTCCAATATTTAAAAACTCTGGAGAAAATTCTGACCCCTAAAATTATCGTCCGATCAGTCTTCTTTCTGTTATTAGCAAGGTCTTTGAGTCTTTGATCAACAAATTCCTCACACCTAATCTTGAGTCAAATAAACTACTGTCAGACAAACAATACGGTTTTCGATCCTCCTCAAGGTTCCATCCTGGACCCTGTTTTGTTTCTTATCTACATAAATGATCTTCCTGACAACCTTTCATCTAAAGTAGCTCTTTTTGCTGATGACTCAACTTTATGCTCCTGTCTTGACAAAAAGTCTTCTCTTTTCGATCGCCTAGAACAAGCAGCTGATCTTGAATTAGATCTCACTTCAGTAATAGATTGGGGTTCACAGTGGCTTGTGAATTTTAACTCTAACAAAACCCAGTTGTTTACTGCAAACAACTACCATAATATGGTCAACATTCCTATATTAATGAATGGCAATCCTCTTACTGAGTCCTCCTCTTTACGTCTTCTTAGATTATCTCTTACTACTGACCTTTCATGGAAACCATATATACAATCGATTGCTAAATTAGCTTCTGCTAAGGTTGCTTCTCTTTATCGCGCTCGCCATTTCTTTACTTCTGATTCCATTCTCTACCTCTATAAATCTCTTATTCGTCCCTGTATGGATTACTGTTGTCATATTTGGGCTGGTTCTTCTAACGATTCACTTTCTCTTCTTGACACTTTCTCTTCTTGACTTCTCTTCTTCTAACGATTCACTTTCTCTTCTTGACAAGGTCCAAAAACGCATTGTAAATGTTGTTGAACCTGAACTATCTGCTAGCTTGAGCCTCTTTCCCATCGTCGTAAAGTTGCATCTCTTTCTCTTTTCTACAAACACTACTATGGTCACTACTCAAAGGAGTTTTCATCTCTAGTTCCATCAACTAAAATTCATTCTCGTTTTACTCGTCATTCAGCTAAGCCTCATTCGTTTACTGTATCTGTCTCTGCATGCTCTAAAAACTTTTATTCATCTAGTTTATTTCCTCGCACTTCAATCCTTTGGAACTCTCTCCCATCTTCATGTTTTCCTGACTCATACAACCTTCAATTTTTCAAGTCTTCTGTCAATCGTTTCCTTGCTCTATAACTCTGTTCTTTTTTTTCCTAGTAACTCCCAACTTAATAGCGGTTCTTTTCAGCCTTGTTGGGAGTAAATGCAAATAAAAAAAAAAAAAAAAAAACTATGACAATGTTCACAACTATGAATTTGAATCATCAATGATTTCAAAATACTCATAAAATCAGTTGATGATTCTATTTAAGCAGTTGTTGTGCAATTAACATTCAAAAATGATTTAATAATTGTTTAACATTTGTTTTATACATCTTATGGTTTATAATTACTGTTTTATGTTTTAAGGGTTAAATAAACTTTTTGAGGAGAGGAGTGCAGTTATATTTTGCTTTGTAAACTTAACCACAGCTTTTTGCATGTTTTGATAAACTACATGTTTTAAAAATGCACTGAAAAAACCAAACTAAACTAAAGAAAAAAAAAAAAAAAAATTATTTTTAAAGTGAAAAAAATAAAAACTGAAAAAAAAAAAACCTGATGAATGAGAAACTAAATATAAGATAAAATTGAGGAAATAAAACAATAGATTTTTTTTTTAAAATCTATTGCTTTATTTATTAAAAACAAAAATAAATAATATAGATTTTTTAAAAAAAATTTAAAAACAAAATAAATTTTTTTTTTAGAAAAGATCTTATTTTTAATCAAAAATTAATTATTTCAAAACCTAATTAAATAAAAAAAATGTATTGAATCAATTCTAAGACACCCAAGATAAAATGATAAAGAATAAATATAAACAAAAAATGTGTTTAAAAACTAATATAATAATAATATTAATAATAATATTAATAATAATAATAATAATAATAATAATAAAAAAAGCTATTTTTACAGGGCTACAAGTCTTTATTCTCTCTTATATATACAACTTTCGGAATAAGGAAAAATGAAATCAGCAATTTATTGCCGACCTTAAACCGTTGGAGGTCAAAATCAGGTTGGCTAAAAAAATTTGAAACAAAGGGGTTGCCATAAAACATAGAAACAAGGTCTGCAATTTTTTGCAGACCTCAAACACTTTCAGGTCAGCAGTTAGGTCAGCATTGCTGAATGCCTATCCTAATTCTGAGGGCTAAATATATAAGTCATAAAATAACATAATAATCAAAACATTTTTCTAAATATTTAAAAAATGATACCTTTGCAATATAGTCTTTAGTAAATCTATTTGCTTCATGTCCTGATTTTAATTGTGCAATAAATCTATTGCTCACCTACAGTAAAAAAAAAAAAAAAAAAAAAAAAAAATTTAACCTATTTTATTCAAACTAAAAACCAATTAAAATAAAAACATGAAATACAAATATTAAATTAAGTTTCATACGATATAACATCACCAGGTAAAAGATTTTGAAGAATTTTGTGAAGTGGATTAAGGGCATAGAAGGTGAGCAAAAATCCTCTATGCTCTTAAGCTTATTTACACAACAACGAGACAAAGCCTATCAATTTTATGGGATTTTAGGCTCCAGGATCAAAAATGAAGGATTCTGGACTCCAAAATTTTTTTTTCTTTAAAAAATAAATAGTAAAAAACTACAATTTAAGCCCCCCCTATTAGAAATTGTTCTTAATTTACATAAAAAAATTGTTAACAATGTTCTGCAGCCTGTGTTAAATCATTGGTAAGCATATATACTAGCTATGTAAGAGACATAACTCACAAATGCTGTAATTTTGATAATAAAACCCATCAACAAACAGCTGTATCTTACAAAAATTACTGCCTGTCTACATAAAAGGTTGATATCACTAATGCACAATCTAGAAAAATTATTTTAATTTAATTTATCTGAAACAATTTTATTGAATCATATTTTTTACTATAATTTAACTATTCATATTTAATTTAACACAAAAATTTAATTTATCAATTATTAATTAAAAAATAAAATGTACAAGTAGAGACAAAACTAAACCAAAAATGAAATAAGTAAATTTTTTTTTAAATTGCCAAGGGCTTTAGCCTGTACATTGACTGATGAAATAAAGAAAACATGGTATGAGCGCCGCTACATCCACTATGGGTTTAAGTTATGCAGCAATCATTTTTTTTATTCTTTTTCTAAAAAAAAAAACCGTATCAAAAAAGTTTAGTTTATATATTGTTCAATTATCATAATGCAGGATAAAAATATTAAAATGCAATTGGTTGGAAAATTGTTAATTACTAAAAAAAGGCAGATGCTGATACTGATTTTGAAAAAAATGGTCAATTAAGCTGATGCATCGGAGAGAGAGAGAGAGAGAGAGAGAGAGAGAGAGAGAGAGAGAGAGAGAGAGAGAGAGAGAGAGTATTAAAGCTTTTGTTCTTACTGAATGCAATACAATGATAATATACAAAAAAAATATATTGCTGAAGAAATGAACACAAATTGATTGGGATAAATTGACCAAATAGACCAAAAAAAATTTAATTAAAAACACTGAACAACAAAAACTGCTAGATCTATTGAGTAATGCGGTTACTAGAATTTAAAAATGCTTTAAATATATTTATTTTATTTTCTACATATTCAAAAATCTTGTTAAATGTGCAATTAGAAACTACTTATAAAAGGCTTATTGAACTTTTATACTGTTCAGAATGATCCAGTACAATTGTTGCTTTCACTGGTAACAAGAAAAGTATCTGTTGTCAATTCTAAATTAATGAAATAAAAACTAATAGAGTGTTAATAAAAATCTTTATGTTCTGCATTATCCTTTTTTTTTCCAGATATTTAAAAAACCTCCCATTAAAAGAGTCCTGCAGAACACTAAATTTTAAAAGATGGCTGCATTCAAAACTTTAGAAAAAATCTGATGAGAATGTTTTAGTTACTTATCTATTATAACATTAGGGAGAATGCCCCTTAATTTATTCAAAGCCTGATTATTTGAACACTTACTTCAGGTGCTTTGCCAAGATGCTGTGCAAGAACAGCCATATTAATCAATGTTTCTGGGTTGTTGCTGTCCTACATAAAAAAAAGTACTTTTTATTAAATCTATTAAAATATATATATATATATATATATATATATATATATATATATATATATATATATATATATATATATATATATTTTAATAGATTTTTTTCTGAATGTATGAAAATTAATTTATTTGTATTTAATTTGATGAATGTCAGAATATATATGTATATATAAATATATACATATATATTCTGACATTCATCAAATTAATCTCCAGACTCTCAGAAATAATAAAATATATCAAAAAATAAAAATATAACATAATAAAAACAAATATAAATACAAATAAATTATTTTTCATACATTCAGAAAAAAATGCATAATATTGTAAGAAATTCATCAATTCATTTTTGTATAGAGATTTTATAACATGACTACTTCTTTATATGCCAAATAAACTCTATCATTTTTATATACCAAAAAAATTCTAGCCTGACTTTGATTTTATATACAAAAAATCAAAATAATCAATTTTTTTTCACAGAATTATGTTAAAATGTGCACAAACTATTACATAACTATTACAAGTACATTATAACTATTATAAGTACATAATTTTAAAATGTGTAAGTTACCCTCTCTTGAGATTCTTGCAGGGAACTTTCAGCATCTTCAAATTTTCCCATTCTAATATAACAAGATGCTCGTGCATTCAAAAGAGCAACTGTAGGTGTATATTTATCACAAAGTTCTTGAAAAATATAATATGCATCTTGTGCTTTTTCACCACCCTAATGATAAATAATCTTTGATATATTTATAAATATGTCCTTACATTATACAAAACTAAAAACAATTTAAATGTAAAAATTTTTTTTAAATATTTGTAAGTCTATATGACCTCTAGGCTCAAAAATATGTTGAATATGAAAAAAAAAGAAAAAAAAGAAAAAAAGAATAAATATTATGGTTAAATGTTTCTTCAATTAGTAATACATACTTTCTATATTACCTAACAATTTGCTAACAGATTTTAAAAAAAGATCAAAAAAGAAGATAAATAGTGAGTTTGCTTATTAAAATCAAATAAAGTTTTTATCATATTTATGTTAAATATAATAACAACCATAAATGATTACTTCTAAAGGTATCAAAATTTATTAGGCATCATTATTAAAATTTTAAATTTTAAATAACTTTAATTTCAATTTATATACACTAAAGTAACTCTTACAACTGCCAAATTGAACCATGCTGTTGCAAGCTGAGAAAGAGTTGCATCTTCATCCATACCCTTCAATTTTTAAAAGTATTTTATTTTAATGCATTTATTATTAACAGTTAAAATAAATGCTATCAAAAAATATCGCATGTAATTCATTTATAATGAACTTTACTAGAAATTATAATAATTGTATTAAATCCTAATTTTTCAATCATCTAAAAAGCAAATATTATAAAAATAAAAATATAATAAAAATAAAAATAATAACAATAACAATATTTACATATTTTTTATGATATACAGACAATAATAAACAGAAAAACGTACTTGCATTCTTGTGAGCTCTTTTCTAAATTGAAGAAATTTAAGAATTCAAGCTACATCAGAATTAATTAAAGAAAATAAAACATGATCAAATTAAAGTCAAACTTACTTAGCAAGATCAAGCCTGTCCATTGATATATAAATTTGTACAGACAAAGCAGCGCTAGAATTTATGTAAAGACTAAATTTTAATATTTTGCTATTTTCATCAATATTTTTTTCGAAAAAAGTTTTTTACAGTGCCTAATATTTTCAGGGTGGAGTCAAGAAAGACACCTAGTAAAATATTTTCAGGGTGAAGTCAAGAAAGACATCTAGTAAAATATTTTCAGGGTGGAGTCAAGAAAGACACCTAGTAAAATATAACAATACTCTTAAATTCATTTTTTTTTTTTAGTGTTATTGCAATAAAAATTATACCAAAATATTATTCAAATTTTTTTAATTTATTAAAATTTTTTATATTTCTGAACAGACAATAACAGAAAGTAAGTTATTAGACAGTAAATAACAAAAAGTAAGCAAACAATAAAGTAACATTAAGTACATAAACAGTATGTAACAGAAAGTAAGCAAACAGCAAATATGAGGACAGTATCCATTATTATTTAAAAGCATTTATTTCATTTATTAAGTGGATTTTAAAAATAATTTTTCTAAATATTTTTGTTTCCATTACAATACAAATTTGCTAAACACAAGAAATAGAAAATGTTCCAGAAAAATAGAAATATTCCAGGAGCTATTGCTGGATGTTAATGTTTAGATTTAAAAAATAATTATTTATTTCAATTTTTTTGATTAGAATTTAAGCGTTTTAAATGTGATTTTCTTCAGTGAATTGGTCAACAATCAATAGATCAGAAATTATAATTTTACAAGACAACTAACACAAGTCATGATGTACATTTGATAACCAATTGCACTCAATAGGGCAACAAAAAATTGCTGTCTGCATTAAAAAGCTACTCAAATACATGGTGTTTATGGAACCATAAACAAGAGGATGAAACATTTATAGACTCTATTTAAAGAATGTACAACATTTGAACTTTATTTCATCAAGTTTCTTGTTTTGGAGCTTTAGAGTTGAGAGAGGGTTGTAACCACAACTAAAGTAGCCTCCTCGACTATAGTGGCCTTCTCCGCCTTAGAGAGGTGAATTAACATAAAAAAATTAATAGTACAAAAATATTATACTAAAATAATCTTTATGCTTAGAAACTTAGAGGGTTCCCAAACTCCCAACACATGTGTTCATATTAAAGATAATGTTTGAAAAAAAAGGTTTGAACCAAGTCTTTTTGATTAAAAATAAATAATGAAAACATACCATAGAAAAACGAATGTTGCTATTTTAGCCGAAGCTTGCTTTTTCCGTTTTAATCAATAACTTGGAGTCTTCAAATTACGTTGCAATCTACAGACTTTGGCGATTCCTTTGAAGCGCGTTTAATTCATAAAAGTTTTAGTATACGAAGTCACGGTAGACTTTTAACAAATGAAACTCTGGAAATATTTTTATTTCTTTTTATTCAAAATTTTATTTATTTTTTGTTTAGTTTTTTTTTTTCTTCTTCTTTTTTTAAAATTTAAAAAGATATTAAAAACCTTAAATATTTTATGGTGGTTCCTTGCTATAAATTGTTATTGCGCTATCATTTAATGTTTATAATTTTGAATATTTATTATCTCAATCAATCTCTGTTAAATTGTCTCAATCATACTCTAATAAAAAATTAAACATCATTTCTTTATTATATTGCAACTATAAATATTGAAATATCAACTTGAACTAAATTTACTTATTATTTAGAATGACTAAGCAATAAAAATAAAAAGCCCCTAAAATTATGCAATATTGTGTTGTTTATTTGATTATATGTTTATATGATTATATTGTTTATATGATTATATGTTGATTATTTTCATTAATCTCAAAATAGTCCCAGATTAATCTGTTAGTTGCTTTGCTCATTGTTGATTTATTTCTAATTAAATATTTATCTCTAAGTTTAATTTTATGTTAAAAAAGAAAAGTATAAATTTTATCGCGTGCTCTTTTTATAAAAGAGTAGAACAAAAGAGAAAGAAAAGTTTTGCATAATTAAACTTCGAATGGATAAGAGTTGTATAGAGTATTTTCTTTTTTTGCGTCACTCGTTCTTTTTTTAGATAAGAGAAATATAAGTTTAACAGTAACTTTTCTTTGAATAAACGAGAATTGGAAGAAAAAATTGCTTGAAAGTTTGTATTTGTCAATTGTGTTTTTAAATTTTTTTAATTTTTTATGTCAAGAGACAAATGCCTAATACAACACAAATTGGGAAATACCAAATAGTATATGTTTTTCAACGCATGTTACGACATTTTGACAATTTAAATTACCATCTATCTTGAATTATTACCATTAATTAATGTGTTATTTAACAATAATTTGTCCGTATATTTGTTAAATATTAGTTGTATAAAATGGGCAAAAATATACGTACTACATGTTTTTTATTTGATGGTTATAAAATATTGAACAGTAAACTTATAATCAAAATTTATAATGTCGACTTGTGTTGCTATTAATTGTACTTTTAATGCAAAACCAGGATCTTACATATCCTTTCACGAATTTTAATATCTGATACTACTGTCAACTGTATTGTTTAGTGTATTCTTGTACTTTTTTTTCATAACCTTAACTGGTTCTGATTGGTATGGAGTTGTCAACATTTTAAAAGTTTTATTATCAAAAATCAAATGTAAAATAAAATGATATTTTCTTTTTATCCGTATCCAATTCAGCAAATTTAGCAATTTAAATTAAATCAGCGTGATCAAAAAAATTTTATAATAAAAAAAGTTAACAATTCATTAAATATCTCTAATTAATACTGTCAGTTTATGAAAATAATTGTTAATAAATACTTTTTTTTGACAGGAAAACAAAAAATGTTATAGCGTAAAAATAACCAGAGAAGTTATAAAATAGTTCCCATTGTTTAAATGAAAATAAGTAAAATTCAGAATATATAATACTGTGCTCTCTTGCACAAAAACAAGAAACCCTATATAAAACGTTCTATATAATATAAAATACTCGTATGAAAATCATAAGATTGGTAAATAAAGCTTTAATATTTGTTTTAGTTTAAAAACAAAAGAAATATATGTAAGATATATAAATCTAAAAATTATTAAGATATCTAAAAAAATAAGTTGCTCCTATAAAATAAAAATAACTTATTGCTTTTACTTTTTACAAATTTTTTTTTGCAATGTTTGAAAAAATAATACAAATAAATTTGTTTTGCTGTATTTTAAAAAAAATACTACATCGTACTTTTTGAATTAAAGTAGAAAAACGCAGCTTTGTTTAATTACACTTTTCATTTGTTAAAAGTCTACCTTGACGTCAAATACTAAAACTTTTATGAATTAAATGTGCTTCAAAAGGAATTGCCAAAATCTGTAGATTGTGACGTATAATTTAAAGACTCAGAGTTATTGAATAAAATGGAGAAGGCGAGCTTTGGCTAAAACAACAACATTAGTTTTTCTCATTATGCATTCATTATTTATTTTTAATCAAAAAAACTTGGTTCAAACCTTTTTTTTTTTTAAATTATCTTTAATATGAACACAACATGTGTTGGGAGTTTCAGATCCCTTTAACTCACAAATAAAAGAAAATTATATATCTTAAACTTAAAAAACATACTTGTTGAAAACCTAATACTTAAAAAACATACTTTTAAAAGCCAAAAAACAGAAGAGTTTATATTTACAAATTAAATTGAAACTGTCAACTAAAACTATTTTAATATAAAACATAACTAATCCAATATATTAGCTTTAACCAGTTAAGTATTCTACTCAAGTTTGTCCACAAAATAGAAAAAGAAAAAAAAAAAATTAGAACTACTTGAGCAAACAGATTTGTTTTCAAAGAAGATATTATAGAGATTGTTACCTTTAATTAACAGCAAAGTAGTATAAAGTTAGACAATATTTTCCTAATTTTTCAAATTCAGAAAGAATGTATGAAGAAACAAGGTTTCACAATACTAGTTGAATGAAGAAACAAGGTTTTACAATAGTGGTGCTGTACAACAGTTTAAACTTATAATGAAACTATTGAATTTATAAATTTCTTATAAGAAATTTATAACTACAATTAACTACATTAACAACTACAATAAATTGTAGTTGTTTTATAAATAGAAACCTAAAAACAATGATACTTTAACACAATTAAACGCTCAAAAAGAAAAAAAAAATACTTTGTAACAATAAATAAGTATATTTTCCTTACCATTCTAGTGCAGTAGACTGATAAAGACAGCGCAGAGCTGAATCTGTATCCTAAACATTTGGAAACTTTTTTCACTATTGCGTATTTGCCTGAATATTACTAACTTTTTAGCTGAATACCAGATTATAACAAATAAAAAAATGCATAAAAAAGGAATACGTTTATATTCTATAAATTTTTTATTTTAACAAATAATAAGCATATTTGTAGAGGGGGGAGGGGGGGGGGGGGTCCAAAATTCTATATTTCTTGTTTAACCAGTTATTCTTAATTAATTTTTTTAGAAAAGTTCAAAAAACAATTCAGTTTTTGCTAATTTTTTATGGTTGACCTTCTACTTCTATTTTAAAAATTTAAAGATATAAAAAATAAAAGTCTTTGCGTATAAAGTTATGCAACTTTTCTTTCAAATTTATGCTATTCAAATTTTGATTGGATAAATTTGATTTTTAATCGTTGCGTTTTATAAAAAAAAAGTTTTATTTGAAATCTTTTTATAAAAAAACATTTTAAATAAGTAAAATGACAGATTGCTTTAAAAAAAAAGTTTTATCTGAAGTCTCTTTTTAAACAAAACGTTTAAAGTAATCAAAAAGACAGATGGCTTCAAAATATCTTAATTTCCTTTTTTTTATTTTTTTTTATTCGTAATTCAAGCTATCAAGAAGGCTATTCAAGATTTCATTTTTTTTTTTTTTTACTTTTCTTTAATTTTTTCACTTTTCTTTAAAGTCAAGAATAGATCTTCTTTTAAAGTACCAGTCAGTAGAAGCTCAGTTAAATTTTAAAGTTTAACAACTCTAAAGATAAACAGGCTAAAGGAATACCGCTACCTATAAAGGCTTTATAAAAAAGAAACTGGGTGATCAAATTTTGAAATTTTCTGCTTTACTCTAAAACGCAGTGACTAGCTAGTTAAAAAAAATTCTAGAAGCAGTTAATAAGTATACCTCAAAGAAGTTGAATGATTGTATAACTCTTGCTAGAGTATTTTGGCAAAAGTTAGCCTCAGGACTTCAAAAAAGAGAAAAGTATTATGTGTTTGGTTGATGATGGAAAATGATTAGTATTAACTTTCTAATTAAGTTGTTGCAGTTGGAAAGCTTTGGAAAAAACCCATTTAATTTCAACAGTAGATGTATACTTAATTATTTAAACCATATAAAAAATGAACGTTTGCGTAGATTAAAAATATTTTGGAAAATTATTGTGCAATTATTTGTCCAAAAAGTTGAAACTATGGAATGTAGTTGAAACCAGCTACAAAAACAAATGGATAACAATGGAAGAGCTGCAAACTTAACATAAGGTGTGCAAGATGAGTTCTATTTTATTTTGATTAAAGTTACAAGGCAGCCCATTTAGCTGTGAACTAGGCATTATTGAAGTAGATAAAGATATGTTAAAATAAAATAAAAAATTCTAAAAATGAGGTTCTTTTTTTTAAGGATACAATGTAGGTCATTGTTGCGGAGGTCTATTCTGTTAAAATACATGATTTTTGGTATAATAATATAAACCTCCATCTTATGTCTACCAAAGAACACGCTCATAACCTAGATGTTCTACATGGAAAGTTTCCGCAGCAATCTCTATCACATATGATGACTTTTATAGTTATTTTCCATTTTCAATTGTAAATGACTAACTGTATGAATTATTTTCATATATAATGCCTAATATTTTCTGTTACTTATAAATCATAAGGTATATTATTGATAAATTAAACAGAAAAAGATTTCTACTTTGCTACTTTTCTTATATTTAATGATAATAATAATTTCATCTATTTTCAACAATGCCTATTTTTGTCAATATATTCACTTTTATTAAAATCGAAGTAGAAGGCTAAATAATGAAAATGAAAAAAAATGATAATGATTTTCAGAATCAGCATGAAAAACTAATTAAGAAAAATTTGTTAAACTATAAAAAATCTAAAAAAAGATGATTATGCCCCCCCCCCCCCTAATATTTGATATTTATACTAAATATTTGAATAATATTTATAATAATATTGTATATATAATATTTATAATAATACTGAATATTTGAATATACTGAATAAAACTTATACTAATATTTGATACTGATACTGAAATCTATAATAAGTAATGGTAAAAACATTTTCATAGAGTTTGTTTTCCACATAAAACAAACAGTTTCATGTAAAAACCTTTCATTTGCAATTAGTTTTTTTTTTCCACATCTTTGTATGTGTACATTTTTTCTGCAGAGATTGGTTTGATTGTTTTTATTTACATCTCTTTTTTTTTACTAAGTGGAGATAAAATGTTGGTGTTGGTTCATCGGTGTCAAGCAGCCTTTTACTGAAAGATTACTTTTACACTGACCTAACATTTCACTAAGAAAGAATGTATGTCACACTGACCTAATCTTTCACTAAGAAAGAATGTAAGTCACACTGACCTAATATTTCACTAAGAAAGAATGTATGTCACACTGACCTAATCTTTCACTAAGAAAGAATGTATGTCACACTGACCTTATCTTTCACTAAGAAAGAATGTAAGTCACACTGACCTAATATTTCACTAAGAAAGAATGTCACACATGACAATTTTTCTTGGAGCATTAATTTTTTTTTTTTTGTATTGCTCTTGTGTTTTAATTAATCCCATGAAATTAGCTTTGAAATGTGCATCAAAACTTATAATTGACATTCCCAATAAAGTTAAACCATGCTTTAAGTTCAGGTTGAAGTGAAGATATTATTTTTAATATGTTTTGAGTTCTTTGTGTATATATCTATATCTATAGCTATATCTAATTTTTTTGAAGAATATGATACTTTTACACATAACTTTAGTTAAAACAACATGATGTATAATATGAATATTAACAAAACATATCACTAGTTCTCATAGTAGCAAATATACTATGAGAACCTTTCTTTTTTTGAAAAAAATCTGGATGAAGAATCTTGTACAATTTTATGAGTTACATAGGATAACAAGAACTGTTTCACTAGAAGAACAATCAGGATAACACTTAAAATCTAAATTGTTGGTTGTCATCTGTTCCTGGGAGAATCCACCAAAGAGAGACGAGAATGCATAAAGCAAGTTGAGAAAGAAATAACAAGTTTATGGAAAAATTTAACTTTTCACATTTATAAATTCAAGTTGAATTAATTTCACATTTATAAAGTCAAGGCAAAACTGGATCAGTGTTGAAGACATATAATAAATGTGTAAAACAAAGAAAATATGAACCATTAAATGAAGTTTTTGACATAACGAAAAAAAAAAGTAAATAGCTCTAAAGTGAGGATAAACAATTGCAACATTTCAGATTTTAATATGAAGATGTTGCAATCGTTTATCCTCATATAGTTGTATAGCTGCTAGTTAAAAAACAATCCATTAATCCAAAAAAAGTAAAATGTCCTTAAAGCCTACTTCAACAACAGTAAAGGCAACAATAATGCCAACTTCTTAATCCAAGTAAGAGGCATAATATAAAGAGTCTGCTAATACCAGCAACTACAGCAAACCAAAACTACAACCAAATTAGGAACATCTTCAAAGTTGTCAACCAGCAAAACAACAACCATTTGTCAACAGTTATCTCAAGATGGAATTGACATTTAGATACCTTCACAATCTGTTACATTTAGATCAACTGTTAAAGAAGCTATTATACTTAAAGAAGAAATGAATAAAACACTACATTAAGAAAGCACTTTGATGGTAAACATATTTGTTGTCGAGAATATCAAGTGTTAGTATTGAAGAATAAACAAAGAGAAATTTAATTACAAGCGCTAGATCTACCAGATGGAAATGCAGATACTGTTGTTAAAGATATAACAGCTATTCTTGATAAATTTGATTTATAGAAGAGTATAAAGATGATTGTAGCAGATGTAAATGTAAACACTGGAAGAAGGAATATGATTGTCAGTCAGTTACAAAGAGATTTTACTTAAAACCACAATTGATTGTCAACTTTGTGTTTTTGACTGTATCCTTCACGAGGAAATGGATGAAGAACTTGAAGCAAACAAGATGTTGCCCAATATTGAATACCAGTTTATCCCGGAACTGGTAAAGAACTACGAACAGCTCAGGAAGAATTTTAAGAATGGTAAAGAAGTGATTACTGAAACAGCAAAATATTATGATGATTATAGGAAATTTTTATTTCATTAAACTTGGATATTCCAAATTTTTGAAAAATCTGGAATATTTCCTAAAGTGAAGACCTAAATTAAATAATGCAAAATGGAATTCCTGAGCAATACTAGCTTATTTAGCATTTATACTTTTACCAGAGAGAAGAGACTAAATACTCAAATTTTGTAGATTCATCTCTTACAGATGGGTGGACCATTGGTTTACTGACCAAATGTACTTTGCAGGTGATTATTTAAAGCTATGTAGGGTCATGAAAAAGCTTTAAACTTAGTGAAAAAGCTTTAGAATTAGAAACCATTGAGACTGGAAATTTTTAAACAAAACAGTGTGCAGAACAAGCAATCAAGTGTCTTCGAGACCTTTTTGACATCTGTAAAAAGAAAAAGAACCTCCAGCATAGATTTATTTTATTTTTCAAAATAATGATCATAAAATTGTTTGAAATTTTATCCATATGCACATCATAAATTTGAAATTTTGGTTTGTGGGTGACCTTTTTCAACAAAAAAAATTGAATTAAAAATTTTTTTTTAAATTGCTTTTGTTTAAATATTAATTTATGACCTTTGAACAAGGGGTCACAAAAAAGTTATAACCCTAAGAAAAGTTAAAAGCTCTTGTGTCTATGTCTACATCAATTAAACAAAAAAGTAAGTTCTAGTTTCAGATTGATTTTTTTTTGTTTACTAAAAATGTGATTATTTTTAGTAAAGTTCTAATAAATAAATGAATAGCTAGTGTGAAACCTAAAGGAAATGCTTGTCTAAGGAATTTTTTCAAGGCAAGATTTTAAACAAAGCTCGCTATGTATATATTCTGTTAACATTAATGTAACTAGCAAATGCTTGTAACAAGAGTAAAATTAAATTTTGTATTTAATAAGCAATTTATTTAATAAATAAACAGATAGCATGCCCTAAAACTAAAAGCTCTCATAAAAAGCTGCTTAGAGGAGCAGCTTGCAAGGCTCGCCATGTTCGTGTTATGAGAGCTCCACTCTTATTACAACAAAAGTTTAGAACAATTGTTTTAAACTTTTGTTGCAATCTTTCTTTATATACTTAAATTTCTTACTAAGCTTGAACAGAAAATATAAACAAAAAATTAGAAGAATTTGTTTCGTTCTAATTATTTTACTTGTTTAATGCATTGCAAAATGTAATGCAAATGTTTTTACATTTAAACATATTTTGGTAGTCGATTCTGTAGATTTATATGCTGTTTAAAATTTTTAAGAAACAAAAAATTATATGGCTTTAATTTTATTCTTTGTTCTGGAAATCATGTATTTTTTCAGGTCTGAATATTAATATATATCTAATAAATCAATTAAATTAAATATAGAATAACTATGAATAAGACCTAATTTTTTTGAAACTCCTAATAATTTTAAGATTATAAGCGAATTATAAAATAGGAATGATATTGGCCTTAAAATAAAAACTATAATATTTTGTTAAAAAATTGCTTCATATCTTTTTTACTGGGACAATTAACTTTTATAGAAAAACAAAACAAAATTAAAACTTAAAAAAATTTAATCTCAATTTTCTTTTTTAACTAATTCAACGTTAAATTGCAAATTTCTTAAAAAAAAGATGTTTGAGATAATTTGTTCTTTTGCGCATCGGTTTTCGTTGGACTTTAAATTTTAATTTTTGGTTTAATTAAAGAATGAGAGAGAAACTTTTGATCTTTTTTGCCTTGTCTATTAATTGAATTTAGCATTGTATAATTTATGGACCATCCCCTTTGCCATTGCCTGCTGTATTGTAAAAGTAAACTATTGCCAGTCAAGATTGACTAAATCATTAGGAAAAAAAATCTAAAAGTTGAGTATGGTTTTCTAATGAGTTATGACTTATAATTACTGTGCAGACAACATTGACGTTGATTAAAAAAATTTTGTTACACACCAGAATGCAAATATTTTAGTAGTTTATTTTGTTGTTTGTTAACACATTTATTAATTTATAGCTATATTGTAAGCATGTTTTAAATTAATAATAAATGAATTTGAAAGTTATTACTGAGTTTTTTTTGTAGTATTACTTTTTAAACTGTTACCAAACATAAAAGTTTTAAATTATTATTCAGTCCAGAAAATAATTTAAACCATGACGTATTCGCTATGATCAATTAATTAAATGTCCTTTAATAAAACTTTTGTGCAGTCAATGAAGTTGCATAACATTTCTGCTCACAACATAATTAAAGAAGACAATATAACTTAGTATGTTGCTTATGGAAAACTAAAATCCTTTCTTATGTATCTAAACCTACAAAAAGACTTACTTGTTCATGAAAGTATATTATAGCAGCTATCAACAGAAAGTATTCACTGAAGTTGCTTCCTTTTAATTTCTCTTCAAGCTGTTTTAAAATTTGTTTTCTATATTTAAAAAAATTTCAATTTCAATTTATAGTTTTTTGGGTAGAACAATCTTGGGCAACAATTAATTAAACAAATCTTACAATATAGTTAAAAAATAACACATATCTATTTTTATGGTATAAGGCTTAAGTTTTAGCCTCAACATACCCTCAGTAATAAATCTAAAATTGCACAATTTTCAATAAAAAACAACATACCTTTTAGAAATGTTTTGAAAATAATCAGCAAGAATACGTACAGCTTGTAATTCAGGGGGTGAAGAAGATTTTATTTCATCAAGAACTAACCCAAATTTATTCTAAATTAAAACAAAGTTTACTAGTCTAGCTTCAGATATTGTAAATAAAATAACATAAAACAATGTATTAATAAATGTAAACAAAATAAAACTTAAAATCTACAAATTTACCTGGGCAATATAAGCGCGATACAAAAATACATCTCTTTCAAGTCGCAATTCAGAGGAGGATAACTAAAAAAAGTTTTAGAGTTATAGAGTTAAAAGCAAACTACTAAAGTAACCTTCTAGAGTGTAGTGGCCTTCTTGGCTTTTGGGAGGTGAATTAACATTAAAAAAAGAATTATATATAATAAGAATCCAAACTTTGATAGGCCGTCTAATGACTTATTTAAAAAGTCAGCAGTCAATGGCATCAGTACATACATCAACTAATAAATAAGTAAAACATGCGAAGGAGTGCCGCTACATTGAAAGCGAAGGAGTATATATTTTTTTATTCTGGTTCACTCTCTACAGGGCTGCAAGCAACCACTATTAAGTTGAGAGTTAAAAAACAAAGAATATAAAGATGGGAGAGAGTTCCAAAGGGTTGAAGTGCAGGGAAAAAACATAGATAAATAAAAGTTTTTAGAGCATGCAGGGACAGTGCAGTAAAAAAATGAGACTTTAGTAAATGACCAGTCAAGCAAGAATGAGTTTTGCTTATAGAACTAGAAATGATAGCTCCTTTAAGCTACAACCATGATAGTATTTGTAGAAAAGAGAAAGATGCAACTTTGCAATTATGGGAGAGAGACCCAAGCTTAGTAGATGGAGTGGTGCAACAACTATTGCAATGTGTTTTTGGACCTTGTCTAGAAGAGAAAGATCATCATTAGAAGAACACTGCCCAAATATGACAACATTATTCCATACAGAGGCCAATAAGAGATTTGTAGAGGTAGAGTATTGAATCAGGAGTAATCTCTGGTAATTTGAAGACCAGATTTTTGGTTAAATGGTATTAGGGCATTATAAAATAGGGGTGATGCATATCGCAGAAATGTTTAAAATTTGAACTTAGACTTTTAAACAAACCTTTAAAGAACAAACTTTTATAGCCATACGAGCCGTATACCAAGTTTTTGTTTATCACATTAAAATTAGTAAAAACATTCATAATAAATCAAAAATAAGATATGCAACCTTAAATAATAGAGAGAAGCAACCTTAAATAATAGAGAGAAGCAACCTAAGCAGATGTTAATTTAGCAATCGATTGTATATATGGTTTCCATGAGATCAGTAGTGAACAATATTCCAAGAAGACATAAAGAACAGAACACAGTGAGAGGGTTGCCATTCATCAATATAGGAATGTCAACAGTATTGATTAAAAAGAAAAGATTTTTGTCAAGACAGGGGTATATAGTCGAGTCATCAGTTTGGGCCATGTAAGGTTGTCAGGAAGATCATTTTTGTGGATATGAAACAAAACAGGACTAAGAATAGTACCCCAGAAAGAAATTATTTGATATTGTCAAAAATTTTCTAGATACACCATAAACAGAATTGGACAGGAATAGTCTGCGATCTCATGCTGTAACTGACCATTTAACCACAGCTGTTTTAATGTTTTATCAATTTAAATGAAATTTAAAAAAATTGTGATGTATAACAACTTTAAATTGTTGTTTTTCAAAAAATTTTTAAGGGGTTTGTTCAAAAATACAATTATGACTAGATATAGCAGCTGCACAAGAAGGTGAAAACCATGAAGTTAAATAAGGCTTGACTTTAAACTAACAAAATAGAATAAAAAAATTCCATTTCTGCCTAGATACAGGAGGTTGCGTAGGAGTCACATTTACCAGCAGAGAAAGAAAAACATCAGCCCAAGGACCATCGAAAAGAAAATTATGAATAGAATCTGAGTCAAGTTTTTCGTAGTAGTAAGTAGTGAGAAGATAGGGTGAGTCCAATAAAATAGTTCAAGATGCTAGATTTACAGAGATCATTGCATGGTCGGAACAACCTAAAAGAGAAATAAAACAAACTGAACGTAAGCTAGGGTCAGAGACAAGACACAAATTAAGAAATGATTTGAGTGATCAGCACCTAACTAAAAGTGTACCACTTTCAGTTAAGTACTGTTTCATTTTTTGTCACACAGAGTTTATTTAGGGTAAAACAAGGTAGTTAGGTTACATTTAATATCTTTATATGTATTTTGTTTAAAAAAATTATTTTTATAGGTTAAAATAACGCAGGAAAATTTTGGAATGCATCATAAACAAAGTGATTTATTTTACACGTTTCCATACACAATGAGCATTTAAAGATTGGAAAACAAATTAAAATGTTATGATTCTAATACTAAACTTAAGAAAATTCAATTCAAAAACGTCTTTATTTTGAAAATGCGTAGAAGGAACCTTAGAGGAAGAAGACTTTAAGTCATTTAAGTCAAGAGATTACGTTGTCTTTAGATAATATTCTAGCTTTAAATTTGACATAAAACGTAGACTTAGACTTAAGAACGAATGATTCAAATTCATTTTTTAAACACCTTGTTGTGGAAAACTATATATCTATATGTTACACCTACAGATAATGTTTGTGCTTCATTTATGCAATGTTGAAAGTTTCCAATATAAAACGAATTTTTGACTTCAAAAAGTTCATCCACGTCATTATTAGCCATTATCGTTTTGTATATATTTTTGTTCGGGAATGAATTTCGTGGCGCAAAGTTCGTCGATCTAATTTTTTTAAAATACCGTTAATTCTCGATAACTCGAACCTCCAAGGGACCAAGGAAAATGGTTCGACTTGACAAATGCTCGACTAAACTTAGTTTCCGTTATGCCAAACTTTAGCTGAAATGAGATATTAGTTCGAGGAAGTCAATCTTTTATCATTCATTGCATAAATATATACATTAAATTTACACCATTATGTTTATGCTTCATGAAAAAAGTAAGGAATTGCATTCACGCAATACAGTCGAAAAATAACATTCGAAAAAGTTTAACGACACAATGACTTATTTGTTTACTTATTGTTTGGTAATAAAATTGCGTCTAAAAAGTCGCATTTTTTTATTTAGAAAGTTATTAAACTAGAAAATAATTATTTTTTTCAACGGTTTTATCATAGCATTATTTTATCTTGATAACTAGAGATCTAAATGCAACAAAAAATAAAGAAAACATTAGGCTACAGTTATTTATGTTTTTTATGAAATGACTTCTTTTTTTAAAAAAAATTTAATCATGTAAATTTTTTTAAAAAAAGAAGTATTTTTTTCTATACTTATTTTGTATGTAGTTTAAATAAGTTTTATATAAAACTTTATATATCATTTAATTTAAAATACATAATTATAACAAGAAAATGGCTAAAACACTTTTTAGTGCAGATTATTTCCTCAATTAAATGGAGCTTGTACTCCATTCAATTGTGCAATTGAATTTAACTTGTCCAGAGATATTCAGCCATCACAATTTAACTTGTCCAGAGATAATCAGTCACAATTTTATTCGATAATGCAGAAACAAATATTCTAACGTATAATTTCATTCAGCATGAATATAAGGTTTTATAAGTTGTGTATTAATAAACTTAGCGATATGAAATAAGAAAGGGCTGAAAAACTCATGCTATTAAACCCATACGAATTTTCATGCCATGATAAAATGTTTATTCCAAAAGCACAAAAAATTGCTGGCAATTATATTTTCTTAGTATTAGACAAACATTGTACTGATGTATAAATAAAAATAAAAGTAACATGAAATAATACAACATAAATAAGCATTTAAGTTCATCCTTCAGCCTCTAGATGCTTTTTCGTTTGTGAAAGAGCAGCCGTGGTACACTGGTAGCGCACTGAGCAGCCGTGGCACAGCGGTAGGGCACTTGTCTCAGAAACGGATCCGTGGTTCAAACAACACCTTTGGGCAAGTTTTGCGACATCGGTTGGGAAGGAGGCGCGAACTTTAAATTAAATGTTCATCCGCGGTGTTCTGTGATAAGACTGCTAGGGGCACCAAAATAAAATTAAAAAAAATATTGCGTGAAATGTTATGATGGAAAGGATTGTAATGACTTTTTAGTAACATATTTTTATCTCTACTTAGCGTTACGTGTAGGAGCTATAGCAAAAATTTGAATTCTGTTTTGTTCTTGATTTATAGACCTTTACTGATAAAAGTAATGTTCTATCAAGCATCAAACAGCAATCATCTAGTATTTGCAAAAACATCAACATTACCAGCAATATTGCAGTGATGCAATAGATCCGGAACGCCGTTCGTTACTTTTTTTACTGCCGGAATGCGTTCTGTCGGGAAAAAATCCAGACAGAACGCATTTCTTTAGTAAATAAATTCTATTCGATCTGTAAAATTCGTCAAAGTTTGCATAGATCAACAATTCGTATATTATTTAACTTTAATAACTTTTAATACAATTGATTATATTAATTTCTTTTATTCTCTTAATTGTAAGTTTTTAAAATAATAATTAATTCCAGGTTATTAATTCTTTTTACTTTTATTGAAAGTAAGAAAAATAAATAATGGCTGAAAAACGCAAAACAACAAAAGATGATTTTTTTACAAAACGACCAAAATTATCAAATACACCGTCATTTTACTCAAGTTCAGCAATTATTTCAACACCTCAATTTGCGGAATCAAATATTAATTGGCCTAATGTTTGGATTGAAAAGAAGCGGAAAGAAAAACAAAATGCCAATCCTTGATTGATATATAATATGGGAAAGTTGGGATGTAAAGTTTGCTCCCATAATTCAACCGTTGAGGCACTTTTATTTTCTACATGACATCATTGCAATATGGTAGTGTGGATGTTACAGCAAGTAAGGCTCCTTATAGGAAAAGGTTTTCGTTAAGGTAATTGAATCAATCTTTATTTAAAATGCAATTGAATCGCTTTGTAATTGTATAGAAGTAATATGAATTCTCTTAATACAAATAATAATTTATTATTAGAATTTTCGCTGGACTACCAGCATCTTCAGCTCGTAAAACTAAACAAAATTTTTTTTAAAAGTTAAAAACAGTTTAAAATTAATTGACATCAGCTATTGAATTTTAAGCAAAAATGTAAAAAGCGGAGTCTAAAGTTTAGTTTTTACAACTGCCATTTATCGACATTTAAAGGGCAACATTTGTACCTTTAATCTTCAAGAGCTTTACGCATTTTTCAATCAAACTTTATTTTCCACTTTAAATGTTTTAACATTCTCCCACTTTATATCCTCCAAGTTTTATTTTAAAAATTTTAAACAAGATTTTCGTCATTTCTTTACTTAGATATTTTGTAATGAAATTTCAGACAAAAGCTCCGTTAAGCTTAACAGAGAGATGAGAATACGGCTGCGGAATAAAGGAGAAATAAAAGATTTTTAAACAACTTAAAAAACATTCTATTTAGTTTAACAATAAGTTTAAGTTGTCATAAGTTCTACCCATTTTTATTTAATATTTAAATTAGGAGATTTATCTCATCTTGTAAATGTAAATGACTCTATTTAAAATAAGCCTTGAACGTAACTTTTAAATATTGCGTTTAAAATTTTAGGGTCTTGATTTGAATAAGGTTTATTTTAAGTATTTTTAATGGCTTCTGTTCTGTAAACTTTATTCTCGTATTTACCTTTGGTGTTATTAATTATGGTTACATCAAGGAAGTTCAGAGTTTTATATTCAAGCTCAATTTTGATTGTATATTGAATTGCAAGCAGTACGTAGGCAAGGAGGTTAAAAGGGGAACGAATGCTCCCTCTATCAAAATAATTAGAACTGGTCGAATCTTTTTGAAATTTAGCTACGTAGGGCAATTTTGTTTTAAGCTTCGCGTAACGTAATAAATTTTGAGGTGACAATGTAATATTAATTTATTACATTACATATTGTATTATAATAAATTAAAATTGAACCTTCATTTAATTGCCGGTTTAATGAAACCAGTTGTAAAAGAACTCATCATTACGCGCCACAGTTTTTTATGTTTTTTTTTTAGTTTCAAAAATATAGTTTAATATTATACCAACTTTTTAAAATGAAATCAAATGTTTATTTCTTTTTCAAACATTTCGAGTTTTATATAAAACATGTCGTTAAGTTCTAAAAAACAGAAACAGCCTGGTAACCATTCAAAAATAATAATCATTAAAGTAAAGTAAAAAAATTATATATCTAATGCTTTTAGAACTTGTGCCTAAAAGTTATTTTTATTAAAAAAAATTTTGAAACTCGGCGTTATTTTATTACATAAATTACATATGAAAAGTGAGAGCAGGTGTTAAAAAAAAATGCTGTTTTGAGGGGTACCATGCCACATAAATGTGAAAGAAATTAGGCCCAACCTTATATCCTAACCATATAAAGTACAGTTGATAGAGTGTTTGGTTATAAATCCAAGGGTTTTAATTTAAAATCCCTCTACAAGCAATATAAATCAAGTTGGAATCGGGAACCAATTATGTAAACTTTTATTTTTTTAAATTACCGCCATGTTACCGCAAAAGAGGCTGCATTCAATCACTATTTAAATTGGGTTTTAGTAGAAAACAAAGAATATTGGTAAAGAGCAAGGAAATGACACAAGAAAAAAACTGTAGACTGTATGAGAAGCGTAAAAACTTAAACGTAAAGAAGACATTCAAAACATCAATCATGAAGGGACTGATACATTTAACCTTTTTAAATTAAAACATTCAACTTTTCTGAATGAAGAGTCGCGCAAGAAAAAGTTTTGTTTAATGGAACTTAAAAATTACAAAATCAGATAGATTTTGTAATTTTTAAGGCCAGTTTACTTTTTTTTTTCAGATAAAAATTGATGGGGGATGGGGATCTTAATAACCTTTTTGTGAAACTTTTATGAAAATATTCGAGAGGCAATTTTAGCTGATGATAATAGCGATGAATCGTATATATGTTTTTTACGATAGGTCAAAAATGAATAATAATCTGAGAAGACATAAAACAGAGGACCCTTATTGAGAGTTATCTTTTCCCTGCAGGGAAAGATAACTAAATTGTATCACATGTGATAGTATTTAGAGATGCTCTGTGGTTAACGTATCAAGTTTTTATAAAACTTCTCTAAATAGAAAAAATCAAGATTAAATTTAAATAATCTTATCAACGTGAAAAAGAAAGTATAAAGAAATTCAGTACATCTCATTTGAAAGTTTGAAGGTAATTTAAATCTAATTTATATCTAGAATACGGTCATGTAATTATTTTTTTTTATAAGTTACGACTGTAAATTTTTTTTTATCGGCAAAAGTGTAAATAAATAAATAAATAAGTATTTAAACAATTATAAATCGTTTATAAATTATCTTTCCAGCAGTATATTGGAAATATGTCTTTAGTTATATATGGATTACTACTATACATATATATATATGGTTGTTCTCAAAAACGTTATTTTAAAATTTGTAAAGGTTGTTTTGACTTAAAAACTCATTTTTAAAATTTGTTTTGTCAATTATCATTTTCTAAAACAAATAAAATTTTAATTAATTTATTGCTAAACATGTTTTATTAATTTTTTAAAATATATTTTTCATTAAAAATTAAATTATCAAATTTTCATCTCTTAGTTTAGTATCTCTAAGTTAGTTCAACTTTAAGAGATGTTTTGTACAATACTCAGTTATTTCAGAACTCTCGGTGACACAAAGTTTGGTTTATAAAAGCTTGTTTCCCGTTATATAATTAAATTAGCTTAAACTGATTTTGATGCTAGCTCTATCCAAAATCTTTTTAAAATGATATTTTAAAAAAAATTTTCGCAAAGTTGAAAGAAGTTCTCTCTGAATAATGTTATGCTTTTTGGTCTGATTGTCAAAAAACTCTCGTTTATGCCAGATGACAACCTTTTATTTAGATTTAATTTAAATTTCAAGTGTTTTGTACGTTTTTTGGGTTTATATTTGGATTTTATTGTTACATTCGCAAAATATTTCTGTCTTACTGCATCGTAAGTTTAGAGTGCACTCATTTTTTAAAAAAATGTCTATAATTGTTCCCTTTGAATTCTCCTAAATACATTAGGAGAATTCAAAGGGAACAATTAGTTACTTTAAATTTATACGAACAGTCGTTAACTCTCAAAGGATAAAAGTTGCTATGACTAAATGCTTGTTGGTATTTTCGAGAACTCATTGGTATTTCCAAGAATTAGGTAAAAAAAAAAAAAAAACTTCAAAAACATTTTGTATAACCAGAAAAAATCTAATAAAGATTTACATTTGGAGATTTAAAGAGGTTTCATAACAATTGCTGCTAAAAACTTTGACTTTTTATGTGAACAGAAAAGGAAAGTACAAAAAAAGCAAAATGATGTTTGATACTCATCTTTAAATAGTGCATACTGTCTTTTAATTATATCAGGAGCAAATATATTTGCTAAATGGCAGTGCTGTATTATGGTAGGGCTAGAAGTGGCTAGCCCCAGGACTCACAGTTTTGGGGTCCCAATTAAAAAAAAGATCATTTTAAAAAAACTCTGAAAAAAGAATTTTAATTAATGACACAGAATAGGGTCTTCTGCTATAAAAAATCCTCGGGCCTCCAAAAGTCTTAATCCTCCGCTGTTGCTCGGGAAATTGGTTATTAATTATCAAAATATCTTCTCTAAGATTTTAATTAGTATGGGAGTTTAGATGTGCTATTCCTTAAAATATTGGTTCAAAGAGCGTTGATATAATTTGACTACATACACTTTGCTCTTAGAGACCTTCCTAATAGTGAGGTAATTCTTGGCTTGTTCTAATTGAATTAAACCAAGAAAAATTGCAATTAAGCATATAAGATTTAACTTAAGATTAAAATGAGATAAAAATAAGCTAATAATGCCGTATTGTAAGTTGTGTTCAAATACATATGGTGATAAAATATCCAATGATAAAACAAGTACATTTTTTAGCAGCATTTATGGATTAGAATTGAATAATTTTAAGCAAAATTAATATATTTACGAAATCGTATGTCCTGTAAACTTACCAGGTATGGAGTTAAGAAACTTATTAAATATTAACGTAAAAATTCTTTTAAAATATTAGAGATTTAACATTTTATAATAATAGTAAAGACAACTTTTTTTAATAAAACACTGTTAGTATAATAGTTAAAATAACTTTACTTGTTGTTAATTAATTACTTTACTTGACAAAAATGATAATTTTTAAACGTATTAAAATGCTAATATTTAAACACTTCAATATTCACTCATGCATAACACCGTTATAGCGCATGCTGCAAACATCAAACATCAAAAGTTTTGTTGAAAAATTGCATGAGTATGAAATATGTTAAAAAGTTTTTAGTAAATTGATTTATTATAAATTGATTAACCAATGGGGGTAAAGTTAGCGAATTTCATATACTTTTCTATCTCTCTAGTTTGGAGCTCTATCATTTTTATAACTTTAATGCCAGATGTTAAAAACTTTGCGTATACGAAGTGTGTTTGGAAGTATAACTTTGATATTTGCGACAGGTTTTTGGGTATAGAAGGAGGCTACAGGTTTACGTTTTCAATTGTCTTATTTTATCTTATTCTATCAGTTGTTACTATAAACAGCAACTCAAGTTTAGCACTATGGATTCACGCAGAATGTTGGGTATTAAAAGTTATACTGCTACTTGCAACCAATGTTGTTGGAATATTGATTCCGTTTTCGCGTTCGCTTTTAGGAATACTTTATTGGATATTTTTATTTGCAGCAATAACATTTATCGCCGTTATATTTGTATTACTTGTTGATGCTTCACACGCATTTCGCATGCATTGGATCAAAAAGGCGCGGTTAAATGCGGATTCTCCAACTTGCTACATGTGTACTTGGCTATTTGTTCTTCATCTGGCAACTTCTTTGTTGTATGCAATTTCCATCGATATAGTTATAGCGTTTTTTTTTTTCAACAATACAAAAAACTGTGTGAACACCTTTTTGTTTTTGTCCATAAATGTGTGCATATGTATTGTAGCTTTTGGAATATCATATTATCCCAGTCTACGCAGCCGGCAGTCTTCGTCTCAAATTATATTTGCTTCAATAATGTTTGTTGTTGTTTACAGCACATGGTTGGCTTTATCTGATCCCGAAAATGAAGTCTGCAATATGTACGGAACAATTTTTACGGGATCCTTGTTAGATAGCTCTGTGAGTTTTCGGTCAATTGTTTCTTTAATAATTGCTATCCCACCTTTAATTTTTTTATGTATGAAAGATAGTTCTACTAAATCATATATTAAAAGTTTATTGCTCTCAGCTAATGCATTAGAAACAACTTGGTATGAATTTCCATTATTTCATTTAGTCATGTTAACTCACAGTTGTTTTGTTTTAATGTCAATCACTAACTATTATGAACCTGTTTTTTCAGTGTTCAAGCCAATTAAATACTCTGTAAATCATTTTAAAACGTCAGTAATTTACTTCGAAGGCTATAATTGGACTCGTTTCATAATGTTATCCACATTGAGTACACTGATGCCTATTCTATATATTATTACGCTACTTGTAAGTATAATGAGAGATTGCTGCAACGATCGCAAAGTTAAAGATTCTAAAGATGAAATTAAAGTGGTAAAATCTGTTATGAATAATATCACAGACGAATTTCTTTACTTAGAAGTGCCCAAGTGGAAAGCGTTAGAAATGCTACGGAAAAATATCGGAGCCCCAAAAATAACAACTCAGACATATAATAAACTTGACTTTATGTTATTACAATGCTTTAGAATTAAATCTGAAAATATATCTTTTTGGCATTTCCCGAAAAACCTTTCTCAAACATATTTTAGTGGACGTAATGGAAGCAATGCCTGTACTATAATAGCATTAATATTTGGTCGATTTTTTTCGCGATCTGATATACCGTTTCAAAATACAGGGTACTTAGATGCAGCCTGGTTAAACTTGTTTCATTCTTGCATTGAAGAAGGACTTTCGCTGTATGACTCACTTGTAAAAGACATGGGTGTATTAGATCTATGCATTGAAGAGGTTAGAGATCGGTATGGAGTAAGACTAAATATAAGTGATGTTTCATCTTCTTTACCTGTTTCTTTTGAATCAGAAGTTGAAACAGTGACAATTTTGTACCAACTTCAAAGACTTATTAGCTTCCATATGAAGCAAGTAGTTTTATTAATTCACAAAGGACGTACATCAGCGTTTCTTATTTATAGTGATGGTCGTATTGTTTATGCTGACTCACACGCCTTTGGTTTAGAAGGTGCTGTGCTGATATCATGTTTAGAACCAGATTTAAAAAATATGGTAGTATTCTTGAAAGATATTTTAGGTTCAAACGATAACAGATTAGCAACACTGACTCCAGTTTTTTATCAAGATAGATTTATTAAAGGATATTATTCGCCATTCTTTGAAACATCACAGTAATAAATATTAAATTAATCAGTTTTTTTAATGATTTAACCTTCTCCTACCCTCTTTTCTCTCTTTTTATACTGGTTATCAAAGTTAATACAAAATTGTCAGCAAAACTTGTGAAACGTTTTAAACATTATATAGTGATTTTATGGTTTTAACGTCCCCGAAATTCTCAAAGCAACATTAATATTGTTGCTTTGAGAACTTCGGGGGCGTTACAGTTAATATAACTTAATTTAGAATAAATAAGTTTTACCATAAAATAATGAAACTTTAATTGCCTTTAATTTCCCTGTCGAAGAGATAAAGCTTTTCTGTCGAAGAGATAAAGCTTCTCTGTCAAAGAGATAAAGCTTCTCTGTCGATTTCTCTTCAAAAACTTGGAGTGTTAGTTAAATGAAATTTTTAGGTAATGAATTATATTTTTGGTTTTGACGATGTACACCTTAAATTACGTTGGATAACCTTATAAGTATACTATAGGTACTCTTTACAGGTAGCTTACAGGTATATCTTACAATTACAAATCTATACCTTAATTTTAATTAACCATAAAGCTATAAATTAAAAACCTTTACAAAGAGTTATAAACTTTATCGTATTTCCCCGCGTATTTGCGTAACTTATGTAAAAATAACTGAATGAATAATATTTACAGGTGCTTCCTTGATACATTTCCATGGATTAAATGAATAAATCTTAAAACGGAAACCAAATGCCCCTTTGTAATATTGACATTCAGTTTCACTTGAGATTTTATTTCTATGTATAGATAAAACACGAGAGGTAACTAAGAGTGTAACTAAGAATCTAGAGTTTTTGTCAAATACTTAGATATGTTAAAAAACCTAAAAATAGCATTCATCTATGCTTAATCATTATCTCAACGTCACAATAAAAGTGATTTTTTTACAAAGTTTAAACATCCCGAAGAGGTCTTCCCCATGGAAGACCTCTTCGGGACGGCCCTGCTTACACTAATAATAAAATTTTGAGAGGAATAAATAAGCAATTATACCTCTTAACAAAACGTTCTTCACTAAGCATAAACCATTAATATAAAATGTACAGTTCCTTATTTACTTATAAACTATTTTAGAATCAGAACAAGTAAAATTTAAAATCAACTTTAAGGCGTGAAACTTTTCTTTTTATCTCTTTTCTTGAATCTAATGACCACGTTCTTTCTGTTATCTCAAAGAAACAGTTTAGTTTTTTGTTAGACTTCCATACCACTCATGCTTCTAGTACTTTCCACCTAAAATCTTCTACAGTTTGTGATCCAGTGTTTTATTACATTTTTTTCTTATTAGATTCTTACAAAAGTTGGAAGTCTTTTCATTATTCTCTAAACTATTTAACAAAAGCTTGAACTGAATCTTTTTTTCATTTTTGATGGAAATTGACTTCTGTGGTTCTAACGTCATCTTTGGTTACAATTTTTAAAAACTCTGGAGAGACTCTGCTTAGATCCGTATAACTATTGCCCAGTCTTCTTACTGTTACAAGCAAAGTCTTTGAATTCTTTATTTGACAAACTTTTATTATCTCACCATGAGTCTAACTACTTACTTTCTGACAATCAAAATGGATTTCCATTTTCTCATTATATACAAACCATTGCAAAGTTAGCATAACTAAAATCTCTCTTATTCGTGCTTGTCATATATACGGGTGCTCGTTAAATACAAACAGCCGTAGAGCAGTGGTTAGTGAGCTTGCCTCAAAAGCAAGAGATCCGTGGCTCAACGCCAATTCTGAGCAACTTTTATATCATCGTTAAGGAAGGATGCGTAAAGTTCCTTTTAAATGCTCTTCTGCGGTGCTCTGTGATAAGACCGTAAGTAAAAAGTAAATAAATAAAAATATTTTAACTTTTGATTCCATTTCTCTACATCTACAAATCTTTTAGTTCTCCCTACATAGAATATTGTTCCATAAATATTGTTCCACAAATAAAAGATTATATTTAGACTGGCTCTTCTAATAAGGCTTTTAATCAAGGTCCAAAATTGTAATTGTTTTTGTACTTATTTAAGTCTCTTGCCTAATGTCGTAAGATTTAATCTCATATTCTTTTTTACCCATGATTTGCTGTTCAAGCAATCTATCATCATTTTTTCCTTAACCCAAAACTCAATTTAGTTTGACTCTTCATTTTTCTAAGTTTAAATCTTTTACTTACTGTAGCTGTAAGCTCATGCTCAAAAAAGTATGTCTATAAAAAAAAATCAATATAATAACAGCTAATAGTTATAAAATTATAAAAAATTATAAATTTATAAAAAAAAAAAGAAAGGGAAAATATCAAGTATGTATTGCAGTTAAATATAAATAAATAATAAACAGTACTTCTAGAAGTTGGAGAACTTATGCTAATTATATAGTATTTTATTCATAGATATTTCTATTTTATTTAGTATTTTATTCATAGATATTTCTAATTTATTTAATATTTCATTCATAGATATTTCTATTTTAATTAATATTTCATTCATAGATGGTTACATATTCTGTTATACAAATTCTTTCTAGATTCTTTGTGAGCTGAAAGAGGGCGATAATGATTAAAATTGCTTAATGCCCCTCTTTTGGAGTAGCTCTAAATATTTTGAGTTGATCATGATACGTGCTTAATTGAAATTTTTTGCGTTGATATTCCGAGCAAATTTCTTTATTAGACTTGGCAAATTATGATTTAATTTTATTACTGCCATTTTAAATTGTATTACTGCCATTTTGATTCATTTTGAAATTTTCATTTTTGCTTGAAATTTTTTTTGTAATTTTCAAACTAGTCGCTGTAATATATTTTTTTAAAGTTTTTATTTAATTTCTATTTAATTTTAGTTTTATAGGTTATATTTCTTAAAGAGGTTTTATAAGATTTTTATCTTAATTTACAATTGTTTTGATTTACAAAACAATTGTAACTTGAAAATACAAAACAATAAAACCATTACAATGGTTTTATTGTTTTGTATTTTCAAATGTTTTTAGTTATCCAATATATAGTTTTTGTTTAATTTTTAAGATTTTCTAAAAGTGATTCATGTTTTATATTTTTGTTTGTTTTATAGATTTCACGATTTGGAAAGTTCCCAGCTAGCACACTTACATTGGGCCAACGTATGTAAAATCATCGCGAACGTCGGCTCTTTTTTCCAATGCAAAACCAACGTTGATCCAATGTCATTTGATTAATGATAAAATTATTACCGACGGAAATAAAAACATCTGGCAAATTTACATTGGTCCAATGTATGTAAAAACACCGCAAAAAGTTGGTTGTTTTACGATCTAAACCAAATGTTAATCCAACGTATATATTTCGACGTTGATTCAATGTATATAAATTAAAGTTTTTCTAATGTATGTAAAAACCTCGAAACAGTTGATTGTTTTTACGATCTAAACCCAACGTTGATCTAATTAATATATCTCGAAATTGATTCAATGTATATAAATCAACGTTTTTCCAATTTATGTAAAAACACGCAAAAAGTTTATTGTTTTTGCGATCTAAACCCAACGTTGATCCAATGTATATATTTCGACGTTGATTCAATGTATATAAATCAACGTTGATCCAAGGTATGTAAATACATTGCAAAAAGTTGATTGTTTTTACGAACTAAACCCAACGTTGATCCAATGTATTTGAACAAATATAGCTATTAGGAAATTATATAACTTAAACAAAATCTTCCGTGACTATTAAAATATCAAATTACAATCAACACAAACATGATTTTTGTTTCGATGATCAAGCGTTACCAACTTAATATGCTTGAATGTATTATGTTAACGTCGATTGTATATATTTGTAATATACATAAATTATATATCATAAATGTATACATTATATTATATATTTATAATATATATTTCTATATTATAAATATAAAAAGAAAATAGAGTTTAATGAAAAATTAATTCCGAATAATAATGAAAACAACGTTTAGCCAACTAAAATTCAACGTTGAATCAACGTAAATACAGCGTTGTAGCAACTTAAAATGCAAGGTTGTGCCAACGTATAAAATAAAACGTTGTATCAACGTAGAAAATATAACCATTTTTCGACTTCAAAAAAACGTTTTATCAACTTTGGTTTTTAGTTGTTGGCTTTTATCAACTTTGGTTTTTAGTTGTTTCAACCATAATGATATAAAAACAACGTTGGCAGCCGATGTTGGGCCAACAAAACGCGCGACATTTTTCTAATGTTTTATCAACGTATGTGTACTAGCTAGGTTTACTTCGTAAACTTCATAAAATATTATAAAAAAATCTTATACATATCTTATAAAATCTTATACAATCTTGTACAATCTTATACAATAATACTTTATACTGAACAAGTACGGATATGGTTTCAGTTAATAAAGCATTATTGTTCTTTCAGTGATAAAAAAATTTTAACGTTAATAAAGCGTTTGAATCGCTTCATTTTCAAACAAGTTTTTATAATTTTTTAAAATTTACTTCTTTACGTGATATTCAAAACAATTCATATTACCAATAAAGTAATCTGATTTCTTTATGATTTATATTTACTCGAGGTTACATTTTTTTATATCAGCATTTAAAAATTTATCAAAAATCAATTACGTCTGAAGATAAGCGGCAACAATAGCTTGAAAGTATACTTTTAGCATTTTTGGTTTAAAATTTTAATTGTTAAAACTTCTTGAAAAACATTTATGTTAGGCCCGATGATAAACGCCATCTAAAATACTTAAGTTAATCTGATCTTGAATCATTTAATATTATTACAATACCGAAAATGTGAAAAAAAAAAGCTTTAAATGTGAAAAAAAAAATTGAAAAAACGTTTTCGGCACAAAAAAAATGCATCGATTGTGAAATATGAAATTTTATCAAAAAAAAAGTGAAATGTGAAATGTGAAAATGTGAAATTTTATCAAAAAAAAAGAAGCATTTATTGTGAAATTGTGAAATTTTATCAAATTGTTACATTAACAATTTGATGATATTATGTAAGATATTACTGAACATACCCTTAGTCTTAACTAATTTATTTTACTTATTTCAAGTTTTCAAGAAAAAATATACAATATTGGAATGAATTGGGACTGTTGTGAAAGTTTATCCAGAACTTAGGAAAAAATTAGGAGATTATATCTTGGCCGAGTTGAACAAGTTTATGTTTGTCTTTGAACATTTCTACGTCCTGCAAAATATTGGAATGGGTCTCATTTTGTTTTTACTCAAGTTTAGGCCAAATCTCTTTTCTTAAATACCAGGATGAATGAGTCGATCAACTTTTAAGCGTAAAAATGTTTTAAAATTCAATGTAAACTCTAGGGAATAGTGAAAATTCCTATTTTGTTAATACCATAAACAGCGGTACCCGATCAACTTTCTTCAGTAATAAAAATATACTCCAATAAAGTTTTATTTTAGTCTCACTTCAAATAATAACGTATAAAATAAAAGTTGCTTACTTTTTTACTTTTACAATTTGATTTGCTTGATAATTTTTAATTGTCACGTTATGTTCATTAGGTGCTGTTGTGTCTCATTTATGCTTTACATTCTAAAACTTGTAGTTTTGATACTCACAAATTTACCGAACAGAACTGCACCTTTTACCGAACAGAACTGCACCTTTTAATAACTTTTGTAATAAAAACATTAATAATAATTTGTTTTTTATAGCCAATGCGGAGTTTTTTAATTGTGCATCCTGGTTAGTGATGAACTACCAGTGCACTTTAGATACAGACATTTTTTAGAAATTTAATATTATACCCTATCAGATGCAGAAAAAAACAAACATCTGAAACAGTTAGTGTTTCTTTTTACCCCACATGCAGGGTTAATTGAGACAAAAAAAAAAAAAAGAAAAAAAAAATAAATAATAAAGTTGGTCATTAATTTTGTTTATCAAAAAATGCATAATTTCATTAGAAAAGTGTACGACCATGCTTAGCATTAAAAAATGCAAATAAAAAAACAAACAAACTGTATTCTCAGACCAGAAAAACCTTTAAAGCTATATTCACTATTAAAAGCTATATTCACTATTCACCCGGTTGTACTTCTCTTCCGATGTATTCATGCCATTGAGGTGTAAATGTCCGCCTGCATTGTAAATAAGCTAGCAAACTTTTGTTCAATTAACAAAATAAAAAGCTACATCGGAGATGTACTTTAAAGTACGTCATTTGTTAAAATAAACAATAAGCTAATTTAAATAAAAAATTAAATTATTAATTTTGACGACTATTTACCACTGTATTGTGAACAGGAATTTAGGTTTCAGAGTATTTTAGTTAAAAATATTATTAGGAAATGACTGCTGAAGATGTTAGCTGTTAAAAACAATCGGAAACATGAAGGAAAAGATTTTTATTTTAACTTGAAGGAAAGGAAATTTAAGTATTAAATTTATATATTATAAATTGGTAATAAAAAAAATGATTTTAGTATTCCTTTTTTATACTTCTATGATAAGGCAAAACTATGGGGCCAAGTAGATAGTTCTAATAAAAATAATACCCGTTTGCACTAGGCCGCAAACAGGAACTCAAATTTGGGATGATTAGTCTTTAAAATATGGAAATAAAATCCTTCTTTGTGATTTCAGTAGATTAAAAATCTAATACATATTTATCCGTTTTTCGGAACCTATGCATGATTTTACGTTTACTGCACAGAAAATTGCTATATAGCACGGTGAGCAAATTCTGGTTACGTTCAAGAAATCATACAACTATTTTATTTAATTTTGAGCATTACCTTAACAATGATTCAATTATTTACAATTTAACATTAAAAAAAATATTTTTTATTTGTTTTAATTTACGGCGATTTCGAAGATCGAGTCTTTTATTAAGTTCTCCTAAGAATTTTTTAACATATATATAAACTAAAAATTAAAATGCAAGTACAAAGCAAATATAACAACAACTATTGAACTTATGAAGTATGAGTTTAGTGTCAGATCAAATATAAAGTGAGAAAAAAGTGGTGTCAGAACAGTTGCAAACGAAATTATAAACATTCGAACAATCGTGCTGGAATGCTTTAAAACGTAGGATATTATGATTCCATTAACGGCCTGGATAAAAAAATAAACAAATAAACATCGACAAAATAATAACGAACTAATACTGTATGTATGGCTTATAAAAATAAAACTGATTAGTAATTCCATTAATTTAAACTAACCTGAGTTAACACAATAAGCCAAGTCCATAAGGAAAACCCTCGAAAAAAATCTATATAAAAACAGAAAATATATTAGACAAAAAAGAAAACTATTGGCTCTGTTTACTCTAAAATTTACACTTTTATGCAGAGGGTTTAATAGGAGGCAATCACTAAATAGCGCAATAATTTCGAGGCAAATTAAAAAAATATAAAATATTTATAGACAAATTAAAAAGATATAAAATATTTTTGTTTATAAATTAAAAAAATACAAAATATTTATAGGCAAATTAAAAAAATACTTTTCAATATTTTACTTTAGTAATAACCCAGCAAACAATTGGTCTGTAAAAGACGTTTTTAATACGTCTTTTAAACGTATGAAACGATTTTATACACTTAAAAGACGTCTTTTTTAGACCGAATGTTTGCTGGGAATTACGGTTTTTTAGTGTTTCAAAATTAAATTTCTACATTTAAAAAAATATAATTTTGGATATCTTTTTTAAATTTTGAGAAGCTTTCAGACAGGTCATTTTACTTTAAAAACAAATAGCAACAATCCAACGAGCCTTTAAGAAAACAATTTCAAAAAGAATATTCAAATAAGAATAATATTTTTTGGAGCACTAACCAAAATTATACACATGTTGCAGACAAAATAGATGATTCTTGCATTAAATGTTGATTCATACAATCTATAACGTTAATAGTCATGTTCACGATCAATCCAGTTCACAAATCATCTTGTTCAATCATTTGACTACATCGTCAGCAAGAAAAATGCATATAATTGAACTGAGGGTGTATTTAATTTTTAAATTTGTTGGAAAAACATCAATGGTGGCAATATTTTTAAGAATAAAAATTGTCAACAATACATAGATGCACATTATTTGCAGAAGAAAACCAGAGTAATTACAAGGCCAAGACCAAAGACTTAAATTTCGGCAACTATTAAAAAAAACTGCAGGTAGCAAGTGAAGTGAAATTAGACCAAGGCTATGCGCAGAAATTGACAAAGTCAATAAGAAAATATGTTTGGGAATAGATATATATGAAAAATAAAATTAAAAATACATAAAATTAAAGAATTAAAAGATGTTGATATTAGTTGTTAGCATTAACTATAAATCATAAACAACTAATACTGTATACCCGAACGGCACATCCAGTTTCTTTTTCGGAATTAAAACCTGTATAGACATGTGTTTGTCACGATCCATGCGTAAACCAAAAACACGTGTATATTACAGGAAGTTTTACTTTAGTTTAACACGTTGCTTTTTGAGGTTTTAAATAGGGGTGCACACATGCCTACTTTTGGCAAATGCCGATGCATCGGCCCTAAATTGAAATTTGAATTTTTTTTTTTACTAGGTAAATTAGGATTTTTTTCAAATATATATATATATATATATATATATATATATACATATATATATATATATATATATATATATATATATATATATATATATATATATATATATATATATATATATACATATATATATATATATATATATATATATATATATATATATATATATATATATATATATATATATATATATATATATATATATATATATATATATATATATATATATATATAAAACGTTACAAAAATTGTTACAAAACTACCAAAAATCAAACCGTCAAAAAGAAGACATTACAGGCGTAAATAAAAATAGTTTTTATAAAATAATATAATGGCGTCAGTTAAAATTTGACCAAAATGGTCTTTAAGTTCTTTTGTTTTTATTCGTTATATTTTCACCTTTAAATGTTCTATTCTTTTTTGAAGGAGATTTTTCGTTTGTAATTCGTATCTTTTTGTATTTTTCTTCGTTTTCTTTGCGAATCTTTTCGCCGTAAAGAGCAGTGATAAAATCTTTTAAAACCATTTTCTTGTTATAAGAATATTTCTGTTTATTGAGTTTGATTAAAAAGGCAGCGTATAACCTTTTTTTGTTTTAAATATATTTTGATGTTCATATATATTTATATTTACAATATTTCGCTGACCTATAGCGGTCAGCATCATCAGGTGGAATAAAATACGTTACAAAAATTGTTACAAAACTACAAAAATCAAACCGTGTATATATATATATATATATATATATATATATATATATATATATATATATATATATATATATATATATATATATATATAAATTTCAAACTATATTTTTTTGGAATTAAACATAGAAATAAAATTAAATAAAAAAGATATCAACAATGAGCAACTAAAAGTTTTATAGACTTATATTTTATAGACTATTTTGATATAGAAAAGGAACATTTGGCAGAAAACATTTTTTTACATTTTACATTACATTTCTTGATTTTAAACTTATCTCTGTATTATTTGGACCCATAGGTTATATACTTACTTCCCTAAATTATAAAAAGACACTAAATGCAGGGAGCTCGTGATAAAAAACAGTTAAAAAAATATTTGTGGTCGAATTAACTAAATTTAAATAATTGCCCATCATCTGATATATTCATGATTGTGGGATTGGATTATTTACTTTGGCGTTCAATTACCACATTGAGCAAATAAGTTAATTGCTCAACATTTAAAAAAAGGCAAATGAAATTATGAAATAAAAATACTTATGAAACATGCAAGAAAGTTCTGAATACAATAAGTAGTAGTGGAAGGACTAGGACTAACAACTCTTGTTAAAACTTTAGAGCAATTTGGTCATAAGAAAAAAGACCAATTTCAGTCAAGCAGCATACAAATTTCATTTCTTCGACATGCATAAAAAAAAATTTATTGTTATGTTCTTAAATCTTTATCATTTTAACTTAGATGTTGCAATAAATTGATGCTACCGCCCAAAGGCTCTAATCATAAAAATACAAATGTTTTATATAGAGCCAACTCGTTCTGGAATTCTCATGATAATAAAACCATGTGCTAAAAAAGTCTCCAGGTGTTCAAAAATAATATTTTACATTGGAACGGGGAAAAATATTTTTGTAAATGTTGTAAAATTTAAACTTATTATTATTACTAATCATGCCATTTTTACAAACTTTTAAATTTATTTTTTCTTTCTACGGTGTTTGCAAAGTTATTTTTTTCTTTTTAAGATTTTTATGCACAATATTTTATTAAACTACTTTGTTATGCTAGTTGTTACTGATTTATTATAACAATTTTTGTTTTTTTATAACTTTTCTATGAGGATGAGTGAAAAAGCTCAAAAAACAAATATATCACAAAAACATACACCTAAAGTTGCTTGTATGGAAAATGTTTTGAATATCTGGAAAAACTTGAAGAGAAAAATTATCCAGAAAAAAAAATTCCTGTTTCAGCCAACAGGTAACACATAAACTAAGATCACTCTCAGTCCAACTCAATTATTTTCTTCCTTTTTGCTTTCAGGCTTATTTAAATTTTAGGCTTAATTAAATTGTTGCTTTTTGCTACAACCACAAACAAACAAATTACAAAAACCTTTACAACAATAACTTTGTTTATTAAAAATTTTCTTCTGCAAAAATTCTTATATTTGAAATATTAGGTAAAAATGCCCAACAAATAGACCTTCTAGCCATAATATGTTACTGGCTGGCTAAAATGGATTTACGGCCAGTGATGATAATGATATTGGTTAGCCTTAAAAATCAAACTTCATTAATATTCAGTCAGAATGATTAATGGCAAAATCAATGTGACTTAGCAAGTACTATAAAGTTCTCTACATGTCGATTACCTAATTACTTTGAATTGAATTTATATTTGGTGAATTCCTAGGTTACAGAAATTTTTTTTTTAAAAGTCTATCACAGACTGGGTCATATAACAGGAACCGATTCTGATTAAAAAATGTTGTTGCAAATTTGAATTAGTAACTTAACTTTTTAAAGTTCTAGGCTGCATATGAGAAAATAAGAACAAAGAGAAAAATCTCAATAAAATGTATGAACTATGTTACTTGATTTGAAACAAAATATTGGTAATCCTTGACCTACTGGAGATGCTTGATATCCTGATTTATTACTATTGGCTTCTCACTTTGTTGATAAAAGGAAAAAAAAATTGTTAGATGCAATTTACTAACTGATGTCCCCTAAAGCTGCTTGCAGGTTAATTTTCTATTTCTTGTTTAATAAATCAAAGAAAACTGATGCCAGATGCTATAATAGCTAATATTTCAACCAGAAGTTGAACAATATGGAGTTGATTTCAGTCTGATGTAAAGTTTTTTGTAACAGTAGAAACTGTTTATTTACGATAAGCTACTCTATCTAAGAAAATGCATTAAACTTTAGTAGTGTGTCAGTTCTTTCTAAATTGGATTGTATGTATATGTATGTGTATGCATATGCATATGTATATATCAGGCTTGGAAAGGAATGGCGTGGGATCAAGCGCAATTGCTGACCACACAAATGATTTTATTTCTTGACAACTTGACCATGATTGTTTATATGCTTTGACGATTTAAACATTTCAGAAATGCGCTGAATGTAGAAATGCTAAGCTAAACTTAAACATGGAAAAAAGTTAACAAAAAACTAACAAAAAAAAAAACTAAATTCCCAACAAAAAAAGAAACAAAAAAAAATTCTTTATGAAAAAGTAATTATATAAGCACTAAGATAAAAATAAAAAATAAAAACTTAAACTCAAAGCGAAACTTTTTAAACATTTAAAAAGTTTATAAATACTTTAATAAAAAGTTAAAATCTTTTTAAACCTTTTATTAAAGTTACGCAAAACGCTTTTAAATTAAGTAACAAATTACCAGGGCCAACGACACCCGAAGGGCCCCCTGGCCCCTGGCCCTCCCAGTGTCGATGCCTCCGCTTTTTTTCTGAAGGACCTTATTTTTTTAATTTTTTTTTAAGAAAAATCTTGATATAGAGGACATTTTTTCACAAATTGATGATTGTGTCCCCCCCCCCCCCTCAACTTCAAAACCTGTGTTGTCGGCCCTGATTACTACTAATGATTGTTTAATAAAAGGACAAATTTTACAAATTTATTAAAGTGTTGTATTTAATATTTTTAAATTGTATAAACACTTATTTTTTCAAAAAAGTTGCAAAAAAAAAACTGTTTAAAAAAATAAAATAGTTTTTTTAAAACAGTAATTTTTAAAAATTTTATGCTCTAATTACTGTCTAGTTAAAAAATAGGCTTCCAACTCTTTTATTCGTAAAAATAGGAAAAAAAAAATTAAATAAAATGCGCCTGTGATTTAGATAAAATAAACTGCCAACAAGCAATTTAATTTAATTTTAATTCGAGCATTATAACTTTATTACTAAAAGCTTTACATAAAGTTACTTCATGCTACGTAAAGTCATTATAAGTTTAATATAAAAATATAATAAAATAAAAATAATAATATAAAAACGAATCGTATGAACATTACAAAATGCTTCAAAACTTTTCCATTAATCAACAAAATACATGCTTATATAAGTAAATAAAGTTATTTTATATTCTTGTATAACTCGCATAAAATGTGTAAAAGCTAGTAGTCACAAAATGTTTTGAACTTATTCATAAATTAAAGTAACTTAAGAAAAAATCTTTCTAAAATTAATGCTTTAAAAGGTTTTTAGTAAGACATGGAAAAATAGTTTCAAAAGTTTAAATTTATCATGAAAAATACATCCCTACATAAAAAAAATTAAACATAACATTTTTTATTAACTTACGCACGCGTCTAAGTAAACAATCATTAAAATAATTAATTATATGGTTTTATTTTAAAGCCTTCCCGTATAATAAAAACTTTAGGAGAGATAAACGATTAAAAGTTATTCATAATGTAACACTTTTTATTGCATTTAAAACATTAAAACATCAAAATAGCTGTGGTCAAGTTGTATAGAAAAAAAACTATTAGCGTGGTCAGTTACAGAGTGTGATCGCACGCAATTCCTGTCCAAGCCTGATATATATATATATATATATATATATATATATATATATATATATATATATATATATATATATATATATTTATATATATATATATATATATATATATGTATATATATGTATATATATATATATATATATATACATATATATATATATATATATATATATATATATATATATATATATATATATATATATATATATATATATATATATATATATATATATATATATATATATATATATATATATATATATATATATATATATATATATATATATATATATATATATATATATATAGCAACCAACTATATAAAGAAGAAACTTAACTCAGATACTCACAACAAATAAGACAACTTTTATGGATGGAATAATACAAACAAAAGTCAAGAAGCAGAGAACAGAAATATTTACAACAAAATTAATTTGAGACAGAATTAGTCAGTGATATACATATTTAAAATAATAATAATAAAAAAAAACAGTAAGAAAAATTCAAGTTGTGAGCTGGTTTTAAGAGGGATCAAAAGTATGCCTAGAAATAATGATGACAATACTAAAGGACATTAAATTAGTGTTTATTTAAGTTAAAGTTTTACTACATTTTGAATTACTACAAAATTGCTTTGCAGCATCAGTTTCTTACTATTTTAAACAGTTCAGAGTTGATTATTGCACTAATAACTAGAATGCACTGAAATAATTTCAGTTGCAACAACTGTACATTTACATCATGAATTTATAACCATAAAAATAACCAGAGATAAATTGAAAAAAGATTGAATTAGTATGTATTACAGTTACCACAAAACTTTTAAAGTTTTAAATTCAATATAATACTTTTGAAATAACTGCAAGTTTTCCAAAATATCAAAAAAATAGTTATTCAGTCTTTCTAAAACATATTATAATTACCTTGAAATGATTGACTGGAAGAAGTGTAAAGCAATATATTTAAAAGTATTCCATAAAGATAAAGAATTGAATTTTGTGCATTAATCGATGTCTGTATAAAATCAAATAAAGTATTATAAAATGCAACAAATTAATAGTATAATACAATTAAAAAATTAAATAATATACTTCGATGTAAGTCTTCAAAACAGCTTCTGTTAAGAAAAAAATAAAAGATTTTATTAAAATCTTGATTTGAGTAATATAAGTAAAGGAGCTTGTTCAGAATATTTTGATGTTTAAGGTAGCTTGCAGGCATGGAAAAAACTCCAAACATTTAAATGTTTATACTTATGTCCATGGCTGTGGAGTTGCAACAATTTTAGCAGTGTCGGAGTCACTAAACAAAATAGCGACTCCGACTCAAATAGTAAAACTTCTCGGTATTGCACGTGCATGTACAAAATATTCAATTAACCTTATGTTCATACTAAACCTCAAAGAACGTTTCATAAATTTATCAAAAAAAATTTTTTATAACTTATTGCGTAATATTTTTTAAAGAACTTAAAGAATTTTTCAAAAATTTTGCTTTGGAGTTGGAGTCAAATTTGTACTCAAAAAAATTTCAACAACTGGAGTCGGAGTTGTTACTTTTTTTTTACGACTACACACCCCTGCTTATGTGAAAAAAAAAGCTTTGAAAAAATTTGCAATGATTGGAGGCTAGAAGCAAAAGAAACCTAAAATTTTAGCTTTCACCTGTCCTAAACTAATTTTCATCAATAATCTATAAGCTTTCAAAAAAATATATAAAATTTGAACCCCCTTTTAATTTTAGGAGGTCACAAACTTTAAATGGCAATAATTTAATATTACTTTATGAAATTTAAAATTTATTAATGAACTTTATTTAAAAACAGTAAAAAAAAATTTATTTAAATTTTATTTAAAAACAGTAAAAAAAACTTGTTTAGGGCAGATGTTTGATTTAAATTTTAGAGTTTTTCTGCCCAAATCTCCAATCATAGCATTTTTTTGCTAACTATCCTAATCTGACATAAGGATTAACATATGTTTGGGTTTTGCTCTATGTTTGAGAGTTAGCAATTTTAAACATAAAAAAATGCTGGATCTGCTCCTGAAGTGTATAAACAAATATATATATATATATATATATATATATATATATATATATATATATATATATATATATATATATATATATATATATATATATATATATATAACAAAAATAAATAACTTTTAACAAAAATAAATAAACTTAATAAGTAAGAAAAAATAAAACAAAATAAATTATGTTTAGAATTATTCATTCTCTTTTATAACTTTTTTATAAAATTAATTAACACTCTTTTATATAAAGTAACAGCTTGCTGTTAATGATGGATTATTTAAGGAAACTTTCTTTAATTTATCAAAGAGTATAATATAATTTTTTTTTATTTATGTACTTATATTTTATTCCAACAAGATTCTAATAAAACTAAGGCTAGTTGAACTTTTTAATAAATAAAAAATCATAATTTTATAACTATTTCATGCTAAGTGTAGTTTGCTATTTTTAAAATATTTAAAACAATACTTCTTAGTAAGAGGAACCAAAGAAATAATTAAACCTTTAAGTTACTATTAAAAAAATATGATCTTTTCTTTTAGTGTCTTTAAAAAAATTCCGCCATGCGCCAGACTCTTGAATCAGTGCCTATAATGATTAGTATCCAAACTGCAGACTAAATATACATTTAATAACTTTATATTTCCATCAGTCCATCAGTCTATATATAATATATATTTTATATATATACATATATATAAAATATATATTATATATAGACTGATATAAATATATAGATTCAGTCGTTTTAATTTTGGCACCATTCACACTCACCCATCTTTTTTTTTCATCAAATACTTTAATGAAAAATTATAAAATGCTCTATTTGCCATTTTATTTAAATTATTTAAATTTAGAACTTAAATAAAATATTCGATTTGAGATTTTTTTAAAACTGTGTTATTTAGAATTTAAAAAAAATGTTTGTTTTTTCTGTTTTTATTTTAATTATTGTGTTTAATATATATATATATATATATATATATATATATAATATATATATATATATATATATATATATATATATATATATATATATATATATATATATATATATATATATATAATTCAAAAAATATATTTAAGTTTAATAAAATTAAAGTTAATGCTTGGCTTTAACTGTCAAATTTATTTAATATTTAAAATGATCTTAATATTTTAAAAAAATGGACAGATAACTGGCAGATAAAATTTAACTCGCGAAAATGTAATCCTCAAACACTTTAAGGTTGGCATTGCCGCAAAATAGATTCAAAATAGATTGACCAAAATATCATGTCTAGTTAGTTATGGTCATGAAGAAAAAAATTTAAAACTATCCTCATTAGAAAACAGGAGAAGGCTGTATGTATGATTTAATCCAAATAAATGATTTAATGTTATGATGTACAAAAAATATGATTTAATCCAAATGTAAGTTATGATGTATGAAATGTAGTTATGGTGCAAGAAATGTAGTTATGATGTATGAAATGTAGTTATGATGCAAGAAATGTAGTTATGATGTACGAAATGTAGTTATGATGTAAGAAATGTAGTTATGATGTAAGAAATGTAGTTATGATGTACCAAATGTAGTTATGATGTACAAAATGTAGTTATGATGCAAGAAATGTAGTTATGATGTACGAAATGTAGTTATGATGTAAGAAATGTAGTTATGATGTAAGAAATGCAGTTATGATGTAAGAAATAAAGTTATGATGTATTTAATGTAGTTATGATGTATGAAAAGTATGATTTAATCCAAATGTTCAAATTAATATAAAAGAATTGACAAAATAAATTTGCATAACCTAATTGAATATTTTAATTCCAATGGTGGAGCAAAAAGTCATAAATTAAAAAAAAATAAAAAGTCAATAAAAACACACAATAACTACAAGTTAACACAGTCAGACACAATTTTTGTTCTAATAGAGTTGTAAATGACTGGAATGTCACTGAATGAACACAAGAAAATCATTGAGTCAACAAGCATAAATCAATTTAAGAACAAATTGATAAATATTTTAAATTCTGAATTTTAAATCTCAGATCTTGAATATTGTTTTAATTGCTGTTAAACATTTTAGGCTGTTAGAAGTTTAAGAAATAATAATTTAAAAAAAATTTAACATATTCTAATTTATTTATACAAATGTTGTGAAAAAAAAAGAAATTTATTTTTATTAAACATTTTTAAAAATGTAATATTAAATTTTTTTAACATTTACCTAACTTGTTTTGTGGTAATTAATAATACTGCAGTACTTAAAAATAAATATCCTTTTTAAAAAAAATAAAAAATAAAGAGAAGTTTAAACAAGACAAAAATACTATATGAATAAATTATTTCAAAAAAATTTTTTCTCAGAAGACATTAAACCAAATATTTAAGGTTCTTAAAGCAATACTAAATTTACTATAATTTCAATTAAATTTGGCAGTATTTTCAGAATACTGAACAGAACTTCTGTTGTCAATATTCTGTTAACCAAAAGAGACAAAAAAGCAATTTGTTTTATTTGAGCATTTGATGGTAATCTTTTGACTTTAAGAAAATTTAGAAACCTTAACTCTAGTCTTCTTTGATAGTTTATATCATGTTAGTACTTTTTTGGTAATTTAAATTAAAAATATACAGAGTACTATATTGTATACAACTAAATTATATATACTGTCAGTGACAAACCCAGAGTTTATTTGGGGATACTTTTTTTTTCAATGACATGGTGGTGGTGGTGTTGGTGGGAAGGAAAGAGTGTTTTAGATTATACGTTTTAAATACTTAAACAATTTTTAATCAATATTTACAAATCATGTAGTATGTGCAAAATTTACATAATAGTAATTACGCTTACATCTAGTATTGGATAGTTATTGACATTATATTATATAGACAATAAATATTCGAATACAAAACATAAGCATTTGGTAAACCTATCTACTATTATTTGAATTTCCATTTCAATTTAAATATTAGCAAATCTGTTCACTTGACTTTCAATAAAGGTTAAGTATTTGCGCAGTCCTTTAAAGAGTTGATGAGGATAAACTTTAAAAATATATATTATATTTTTATAATCATCAAATTTAAAAAAAAATTTAAATGATGTACAAATATATTACAGTTTAAAACTAAATCTTAATAAAACTTTTATTAACTTATTGTAATCATTACTTTTATTATTGTAATCATTACTTTTATTAACTTAATGTAATCATTACTTTTATTATTGTAATCATTACTTATATTATTGTAATCATTACTTTTATTAACTTACTGTAATCATTACTTTTATTATTGTAATCATTACTTTTATTATTGTAATCATTACTTTTATTATTGTAATCATTACTTTTATTGTAATCATTACTTTTATTATTACTAAAGTGGTAAAAAATATGGAAAAGGAAACAAAACCTTTAAAAAGGTTATCACTTTATCTTTCAGTTTCATGATGTAGAATAAAACTGGGATCAAATGTTCATTCATTCAAAAATTAGGTTGGTGCAAAAACAAACTAAAATTTTTACTTTTGTTCATTTATTTTGAAAAATAGTTAATTTAACTCGTAGTTGCCAGCATACAAAAGAAAACTTTACTCTAAATGGATATTTTAAAATCGTTCTATCTTGTTCGTTCAAGAAAAACAAGTTTTTCATACATTACATTGTCATTAAATTGAGTTTTGTAACAACATTCATTTATTAAATTTAACCTTAGTTTAGTAACCGAATGACAGTTTTAAACGTTAAACGAGTTACACCAGGTAATTACTTTTTAATTCATTTTATTGTCTGTAAGTAAAAATAAACTAGCTAAATTAAATAGAAAATTAATTATTTACTACTGCAATCGAAGCAGAAACTTTTTTTCCTATTTTTAATAAAAAAGCGAAATAAAATTAAAAATATTTTTTGGGCACCCATACAGCTCCTGTGGTAGGAATACAGGTCTGGGTTTGTCCATGACTGTATACAACTGAAGAGAAAAAGAAAAGTTATATTTACCAGTAAAAACACCTGTAAATCCAGAAATACATGAGTATAAACAAATTAAACATATGCCAGTTTTGGTAACATAAACGGTTTTAAGTGATAGATCATTTTTGATATTTAAACCTCCCAAACTAAAGAAAGACAAACTTGAATTAGTTTCAAAAACATGCAATACATAATAATAAATAAAAAAATTTACACACCTGTTTAACACACTGGCCACAAATAAAAAAAAAACAGCTAACCATTTATTTCTTGACACATATCTGTAAAAAGTTAAAAAAATAGTAATCAACAATAAAAGCAGAATATATTCATATTTATAATATAAACAAAAGACAATGTTAATCTATGGATTTCTAACAATAGTTAACCATTTTACACTTAAAAATTCATGTTAAAAGAAACCTAAAGAAAGCTATGTGTGACAGCATGATATTAGGTAATATAATTAGCAGTATGATAATATATGATGATTGACTTTTCATGAACTTTTTTAAGAATAATTTTAAGCAGCTAACTTTGCAACAACATGTAATGGTGCTTTAAACACTAGTCTTCTATGCCTAAGAGGCCTATTCATTATATTCTAAGAGGCGTCTTGATACACCACATTCACCATAGTACACTATATTTCTGGTAGTAAAAACTCTGTGTTAGGTTATTATTTATAAAGTGTATATGTATAATTATGTATAGTTAATGGTACAATTAGTTATTAACTATTAGATCATTCATGTTTCAAATAAATTCACAAAATAATTTATTCACTTAACTTGTTTCTCTGGTCATATTTGTAAAAATTTTTTGTTTTGGAGTTAAAGTGTCAAGAGAGGATTGTAACAACAACAACAACAACAACAAATAATAAGAGTAGCCTCCTTGACTGTAGTGGTTCCCTCTATCTTGGGGAGGTAATTTAAAAAAAAAAAAAAAAGGAAAGATTTCTTTTTTTTACAGCATAATAAGATGGAAGACAGTTTGAATAAAACAATAAATTTTTATCTAATCACTGTAATTAAAGTAATGTTTTAAAGTAACCTGTTGATAATTAGTCTATAAAAGATGACTGATGTTGCAATCTTCATATTACTTAAAATCTAAATACAACAAAATTAAAACTTTTTAAAATGATATAAATAATATTATCTATTTGTTTCAATAAATCTGTATTTAAAGAGATTACTTGAAAAGATCCTGGGTCCATGAAACGCTGCACATGCGTAACTAAATTGTTGTTAGCAGTGTACAAAAATGCAGGTATGATGTATAACAACATGACTTTACGATTAATTGATATACTATGTTTGTTTAAAAATGCATCTTTTAGCAACATTAAAACAGAGATGCACAGCTATATATATATATAAAAAAAAAAAACTGTTAACAATACAACTCAAGTTTAAATATTTTGAATAAATAATCAAAAATACAATAACCAAAACAGCAAAACTAATATAAAACTAAAATACAAATAACAAATCTGTTAATAATCTAAAAATAATGGTCATAAAAACTAATAATAAAAAAGTTCTTTTCCATGCTTCTTCAACATGTCTTTGAAGTAAGATTGAGAAGACAAATTTTATAAATTCATGCAAACTAGAATAGAAAGATATTGTAAGACAATACAGACTATATAAAAGAGCAATAGAAAGAAATTGTAGAACAATATAGGACAATGCAGGACAATATAGACTATATGAAAATTGTAGGATAATAAAGACTATATGAAAGAATAAAAAATACTTTGATCAAAAATTATGAAAATTTTGCCAGCTATCTGAAATTTAATTTTTCTTATTCTACTAATAAATATCCTAGTGACTCAAGGTAGCTTCCAAAATAGTTATATGGTAAACTTTGACAATTCAAGAATTATCTAAAGGAGCCATATGCCTTTCTTTTTAAGCTTCTTTCAGAATATTTCTACATCTTTCATTAAGTTTCTTTGTGTGGTTTAAGTTTTAAATATTACTATTTTTGTGGGGTTTTAGATAGCAAGCAAAAAGTTCACAAGACACTAGCTATTTAGAGCAACTCCTATTATAGTATTTATAGATGGTTGGAAGTTGGCTGACAATGGTTGGAAGTTGGCTGCAAGAGCAGGTCAAACTATGTTTACGATGAATTTTTACACCTCGACTAAAAGAGAAAGGGCATCATTTGAAAATTCAGTCCAGATATGGCAACAGTATTCCATACAAAGACAGATTTAAGATTTATAGAGATAAGGAATAAATAAAAAAAAAGAGTTTTATTTGAGTTCAAATTCACTGAGAGTCACATGCTGTAGTAAAAGTGAGATCCTTTTCATGCTCAAAAACCACTTCCATCAAGAATAAATGGTAATTTCATCAGTGAACAATGCCACCTTAGATGTGAGAATTTCTGAGAGGTCGTTAATGTGAATTAAAAAAGTAAAGGGCCAAGGATAGAACTTTGAGAAACCCCTGAAGTTACAGGAAAGAAGAAGAGTGCTGCTCATCAAGAACAATTTTTATACTACGATTGGTAAGGAAAGATTCAATTATCTTAAAGATATTACCTGATACAGTGTAAGAAAAGAGCTCATGGAGAAAAACAGCATTCCAAACTTTATCAAAGGCTTTAGAAATGTCCAGAGCAATAACCTTAACTTCTCCAGATCTATCTAATGCACAATAAAATCCTTATTACCATTAATAACTTATTACCGTTAACAAGTCAGGAGTAAAATAAGAAGATCAAATTTCAGAAAGTATGTTATTAGATTCAAGATAAGAGATTAGTTTTTTGTTAATTAAATAATCAAAAATCTTGCTTATGATAGGAAGAAGACTTATAAGATGGTAGTTCAACGAGTCAAATCGCTCTCCAGATTTTTGAAAATAGGGATAACAGATGCTGCTTTCCAACAGGCTGGAAAAAAGTATAGCTAAAAACTGTATACTTAAAAAAAAAAATAATTATTAAATAAAAAATAATCAAAAAAATCAAACCTTCAATAGTTCAATAAGTAAAGCAACAGATGCTGAGCTAAATGTGATTTCTCCATTTACTTTTGCCAGATTAATAAATATGGCATGAAAGCTTGCCATCAAAATGCTAAACTGACATATAAAACAAGTATTTTCAATGAACATTTAACAAAAAATTAATGTCACAACTACAAATACATATGGTCAATATCTGTTTAGTTTCTTTTTGCGATTATGAAAGCACAGATGGTACTTTACTTTTTTCAAATAGCAATATCTAGGGTTGCCATTCTCCTCTTTTTTCCATAGGAGAGCGCAGTGAAAACTTCAATTTTAATTAGTTTAGCGCCGCGTTCTCCTACAGAAAAAAAAGGAGAATGGCAACCCTAGCAATATCTCATACCATCAGCCTAGCAGTTTTTATTTGTAATACATTCAACCTTTTACTATTCAACATAGTAAAAAATGTATACATTATTAAAAATAAATACTATTATAGACGTAACCAATTATAATAATACATTATACTACAAAATTTAAATTTGATTAAGATCAATTCCAGAAACTGATGTCTATATGCTTCACAATTACTTTAATAGACACAAGACAAATACATTGCAATAAAAATATTATATATATATATATATATATATATATATATATATATATATATATATATATATATATATATATATATATATATATATATATATATATATATATATATATATATATATATATATATATATATATATATAATATGGTCTACCATATTGTATATCAGCTACATTTTTAACTTAAAAGCTACAAGTTTTCCCAATTAATGCTGTTCAATATTTCAAATCATAACAAGAATTTTTTATTTAACTAGTCTACCCAAAATAAAAACTAATCTTAAAACAATAAGTATGGTATTAACCTATGTGCAAACCTAACCTAATGTGCAGCCCTAATAACTTAAGCTAATATGCAACTTTAATGTTCCAATACACTAATTGAAATTAGTTTTTTTAAACTTGATTTTCAAAACAATATTTTTGATTAAATACTTTTATAACTAAATTAAAATTAAGTATTCAACAAAGTAAACAAACTTTAATAAAATTATTTAACTAAAGAAAAAAAAAAACTATATCAAATATGGTAATTATCATAATATAATATTGTATAATAATTATGATAGCTTTTTAAATTAACTAACTTTTTTTTTTTAATTATACAAAAAATATTTCAGTAAAAACTGGAGACAAATTGGCAAAATAAAGTGTTTAAAATGTACCTTGATATTATCATAACCGACCACTTTATCTTTTGGTAGTCTTTTTCTTTGTATGTAGTTTGCTGTAACATGTTTCTAATTAATTGAAAAATTCCAAAAATTTTTTTAGAACATAAAAACTAAATAAATAATAATTTAATAAAATAATAAAACTAAATAAATAATAAAACTAAATAATAATAGTTTGTTAGTGACTATCAACAGAATTTAACTTTTTAATAAATTACAATTTTAAATATCAATAAAAGTACAATGAATAATAAAATATTTTGAAATAAAATAATGAAAAATTTTAAAAATTCTTCATTGGAGACATTCCATTAGTACCAACTTAACAAGGGTTCATAAACATTAATATTACAGCAATAAATGAATAACAATAGTTTGAAAAATAATAAAAAAATCTTGTGCTTTATATTTATATACGCTTGCTAAAGCGTATTTTTATAAGCATTTGCTCACTTTTTTTGCTTAACTTTATCCATACGGCTTTCTAAGAAAAAGAAGAAATAAAAAACGATTTATGATAAATGAAACGATTGCTGCCCCATCCCAAACCCTCGGTCGATATAGCAGCACTCCACTGCAATTCAGGCTATTTGTCAGTCAATGTATGTACTTAAGCCCCCAGCAACAGGCTATTTCAGTATGACATCAGATTGCTTACCTTAGTACGCAATAATATTTGTATATATATATATATATATATATATATATATATATATATATATATATATATATATATATATATATATCCATATGTTCATATTATATATACATGTGTATATATATATATATACATATATATTAAATATATATATATATATATATACATACATATAAAATATATTTACATATATTTTAAATGTATGTATGTATATATATATATATATATATATATATATATATATATATATATATATATATATATATATATATATATATATATATACAAATAGTATTGCGTACTATGGTAAGCAATCTGACGTCATACTGAAACAGCCTGCTGCTGGGGGCTTTAGTACATACAACGACTGACAAATAGCCTGACTCGCAGTGGAGTACTGCTACATCAACTGAGGGTTTGGGATGGGGAAGCAATCGTTTTATTCATCATTCTTCGTTTTTTCTTCTTCTTTTTCAAGAAAAACGGTATAGCCTAAGGTAAGCAGAAAAAGTGAGCAGATGCTTATCAAAACACGCTTTAGTAATTGTGTATATATATACATATATATATATAAACACACAATAATAAAAATAACTTTAAATGTATGAACATACATATATATTTTTTATGTATGTATATACACGCACACACACACACACATTTATATATATATACATATATATATATATATATATATATATATATATATATATATATATATATATATATATATATATATATATATATATATATATATATATATATATATATATATATATATATATATATATATATATATATATCTGTGTGTGTGTGTGTGTTTGTGTGTATGTGTATATATATGTATATATAATTTTTTATGTATGTATATACATATACTATATGTATATACATACATAAAAATATGTACATACATTTAAACTTATTTTTATTATTTATTAAACTTATAAGTATTCGAAACTTACATAAGAAATATTTTGATTAAGAAACGGGTAATAACAACTATCTATATTAAAGTTTAGTAATATTGTTTTTCACTTTGATTTAGTATTTGTCTACTCTAGTAGTCTAGAGAGGGTTTTTTCCGGGAAATATTGTTGTATTCCCAAAATTGTTGTATTCCCGAAAAATTTGTTCAATTCCTGACCGGGAATTCCCCGACCGGGAATTCCCAGGAGTTTTTCATATTTCATATTTCACGTTGCCTTCTAAAATTTTAAAATCAAAGAATTACTTGTGTATATATTTTATTATGTTATGATAATTATTTATTCAAAATAAAAATATATTAATGTCAACAAAGCTATTTAATGTGTATAATCTGACTTTAGAAGTTACCTATAATATAGAAAAATGTTAAAATCAAGTCATAATTTTTTAATTAAACGTGATATATATATGTAATAAACGTGAAGTATTAATTAAACGTGCAAACATGAAAGTCATTAATACAAAACGGTAATTGCTCCCCAGTGGCTTGTAAAACGTGATGCAAAACAAAAGCATAAAATTCAAATACAAAACGCTAGTTATTCTTTAAAATTTAAATTAAATTTATTATTCAAGAGATTTCGAATAACATTCAGTTCTCCACGTATTAAAAAGTAAGTTTCAAAATATTCTTTTTACTTTCTTAAATTTTAAATTTCCCGCTTCCGGGGATAAAAAAATGTCGGAAATTGGTACCCTCTAGTCTACCCTACATTCTCGTAATCAAAGTTAATTCCAAATGATAGCTTTCCAGCTGTCGTGGTACCACCAAGATACACAACGTCAGCTACCTCCAAGGTAACCACTACCACAGTTTTTACAAAATTACTACCATATTTTCGTAGGTTAGGAGTTATGCAGTTTCAAACATGCATAAATGTAGCTGAAAAAATGGTTTATAAATTTTGATAATCAGTTTTAAAATAAAGTTTCTACCTACAGTAGTAGAAAAAAAAAGAAAATGCTGTTAAAATGTAACTTTTTGGTACCGGAAACAAACATTTATTTTTATTGTAGCAACACATATGAGCAGCAGTGGTAAAAAAAACTTACTATAGGCCTCTAATGGCCTATACTTAAATTACTATACTATAACTTAAACTTCTATAAACTTCTACTTAAACTACTATACTATAACTTAAATTTTAATTTGAATTCATCACTCAAGATGGCAACACAATTGACATGTCTCCAAGATACGCACACCTCCCAGGTACACCACTCTCCTCTCTTTCTCTTTCTCTGTATATATATATCTATATATATATATATATATATATATAATATATATATATATATATATATATATATATATATATATATATATATATATATATATATATTTATATATATATATATATATATCAGCTTTAATATATATTACTATATAGTCATATATATTATATATATATATATATATATATATATATATATATATATATATATATATATATATATATATATATATATATATATATATATATATAATATAACAAAGTTGCTCTTTATGTTGGGTGTGATGACCTCATAAGATGAAAGCCTCTTGATAAAGGCTTAAAGGCTTTATTCAACAATAATATATTAATCTAAAGATACAAAAGTTGGAATATCTATATAACACAAAATAGTTTTGAAATTACGATACAAACACTAGAAATTGCATCAATCTTCTTATCTACATAAAAGCGTCAACAATCTATTTTCATCATTTTAATATAAAACCATTATATTTTGCAAGTTCTAGTAAAAGATTGCAGAATGTCAGTAGATGGCTTATTTATTGGGTTATTTTAACTTTTATTTCAGATATAACTTCAGCTGATTGAGTTTTATTTACATCAATTACTTCTGCAGTTACATGAAGGGAATCGGATAGAGCAATTTCTAAATTTCTAACATCTAGGTTTGTTTGACATCTAAAACTGGGATTTTAGTGTCAAACCAATATTTTTCCAGATCAAACAACTAATCTCTTAACTTGTCCATTGCTAATAGGATGATATAGAGTATAATTACTTGTTGCAATTCCTTTCTGAGTTAGTTAAAATTTAAATTCATTAAATATGAATGACGAGCCTCTGTCAGAATGAAAGTAAGTTAGAAAACCACAAAAAGAGAATATTTGATCTAAACATTTTGCAACCGTTGATGAACTGATATCTGGTCATGTGGTAGCAAATATATACCAGGAATAATAATCAATAACCATAAATAAATATTTATTTCTAGAATTAGATGACAATTATCTTTTAAAGTCTATACTTAAATGATCCATTGGACGCATGGATTTGAATAAGTCACCGACATTTACAGATAAATAAAACTTTGGCAGTTAGAACAAAATTTTTTGACTTCCTCTATAAAAATGTAAGTTTTTATATTTAACAAAGTAAGGTTAGTGCCTCCTGGATGACATAGACAGTTATGTATATTTCTTAGATTTGTTTGAGGTTGAGTTGAGGTTGAGGTTGAGGCACAAAAAACATGTGTGAGTGCATCATGAGCTATATAGTGTAACTAAACTCTGCTAACTTATTATATAGTGTAACTAAACTATGCTAACTCCTAGAACTGAATCTTACTACTTTTAGTATTTGTTTTCTTTGGTTTATTAAACATGAAGCTACAGAACGTTGGTCAGCCATTTCTTAATGACAAATGTTACCATTTTCGAATAGCTTCAATATTAGCCACAGCTTCTTTTTCTACAGCTGGGTAATTGATTTCACACTTCTTTCTGTTTAATGTCTCAGACATAAAAACAACTAGGCAATTATTTTGATTAAAGTAGCTGATACGACTATCTATTACGCATCATCTTACATACAACAACATAAGATAAGCTATTATTGATAGAATTCAATGTAAAAATGTGAAGTTTTTTATATTGAATAAATGTGATGAACTCATAAAACTCAATAAAGACTTTATTCAATAATAATATAGTAATCTAATTTATGATTCCAGACAAATAGACAACTTAATAGATAAACAAGATCAAATAATTTGAGTATTTTTGATAGAAAGTAAAGGATGTCAGAGTTAGAATGATATTGTTAAAAGAATATTAGTTTTAAAGCTTTGTTTTGTAGGTTACATAATCTTAAAAAAGTATTAGACTTGGATTGTCCCAAAACCTGACAAGCATATTTAAAATATGATCCAAAAATTGTATGGTATATCTTAAGTAGAGTTTCATAATCGACATAGTGGCGAATTTTGGCTAGCATCTTCTTTGATCTACACAATTTTACTGCTATGTTTTTAAGATGAGAGGAAAAGGATAGATCTGAGTCAGGCCCTATGAGAGGGGGTGCAGTCGGTGCGCCGCATAAGAGTTTAGGGGCCCATGAATAATATATATATATATATATATATATATATATATATATATATATATATATATATATATATATATATATATATATATATCATTGAATTTTAACAAAGTTTTTTTTGTTGTATGTGATTTACGGAAAGGGTTTTGACAGTTTGAACTCTGATTAGTTTAAAACTTCTTTTGACTTAATTTTTTTTTACTTCTGAATTTTCTTTTTTATAAATGCAATGTAATCGTAAGGTACCAATAGAAAGAAAGACATAACACCGCTAATAACACCAAATATAAAACTTGTCATTAGTTAGTCTTTGGTTATGCTATGCTAACTCGCTAAAGCAAAGTTAAATCGTATTAAATTTAAAAAAGAATTTTATAAAATATGGGAACGTAAAATGAATAAAGAAAATATAAATTTTTACTTTTTTTCTTTAACAACTTGATACTATTAAGACTCTGCGTACAAGAAATATCCTTATGCATAAATCAGGAAAACAAAAATGTAAAGAAAAAAAGGAACCCGTATACAATGAAAGAAAAGGAATATAGACAGCCTTTCAACTTGGTCAAAAAAAACAACGAATTGAATTAGAAACTAATACTGAATATGAATTTAAAACATATCCTGATGTAAATTAGGAAAAAAGAAAAATGAAAATGGTATTCATAAACAAAATAGCCATCTCAAAAATAAAATAGCAACTAAAAAAACAACAACAAAACTTAGATTTTTTACAAATGTGATTGACATAGGTATTGATTCAGAACCTGAATCTGGTGTTACAGAAAATTCTAAACTAAGTAGTGATTCACTTCACCAATCAAGTACAAAACTTGATATTGAATTCATCACTGCAGAATTTCCTTCTCGATCAGAAATAAAAAGTTTTGTTACCAGAGATCATATTGACTTTCCTTTAAAATTGCTAAAAGATGATAATTAAAAATTTCCAGAAGCTATACCAAAGTTTAGAAACCTTAATGCATAAAAGCTTACGTAAGACTTGCTTGTATGGAACAAGCATATAGCTTCTTTATATTGTTTTCCTTGCCGGTTATTTTGGAACAGTGTCTGTTTTAAGCTAAGTATTGCTTCCAAATCTGCATTAACTACAGATGAAAGCTTGGCAGCGAGTTCCAATTGATGGAAGTTATGTAACAGGATTCTAGATTATGAAAAGAGTAATGGGCATACCTAAAGTAACAACAACAACAACAAAAAAAGAATTAGCATTTTTTAAATAGTCAGAGAAGATACTTTTAGAAGTCATTTTACTTTTGGGTGGGTGTTGTATTGTTTAATAGTATTTATTAAAAATGTTAGCAACAGCCACACTGTCTGAGATAGTGTTACAATTAGACTTAAGAATGTAATACTTAATTGGTGTAGAGGGTTTGATGTTAATAATTTTTTTTCCCTTTCCATGTATTTTTTGTATTGTTAAGGTTTTTGTTAAAGAAGGAGATGTAGTATGACTGTTTAGAAATTCTTAATAAATTGCTAATTTTATTCCTGTACAATTTAAATTTATTGAATTGTTGACTTTTTGCGTTGGGATTTTTAGATTTCATATACTTTTTGTAGAGGTTATTTTTAATTGCAATTGACTTCAGAACTCCATTAGTGATCCAAAGTTTAGATTTGAGTTTAGCTTGGTTTTTGGTCAGTTTTTTATGCGGGACATGACAATCAAGAATTATGTTTAGTGTTTTTAAAAAGTAGTTCATTGATTCATTGACATCATCATCAAGCGAGTTTTATAGGTTTTTTGAAAATATTCACT